GGAGGATGTGCCTCTGGAGGTTCTCTGGCCTTAGCTATCTGTTCCCAAAGAAGAAGTGACAGCTGTCAAGTGGAACATATTAAGGAGGACTTCCATCCCAACTGGGCATCCAAGAATATCCAGCTCTCCCGGAGGCTGCTACCTGAAAAATAGAGCACACTCTGGGGACAGGGGTTGTTATTAATCCTTCAGCAGCAAGAGCTCATTAATACCCCACCCACCACCACCATTATGATCACTCAGTAACTCTCCTCTCTGCTTCTCACCTCATTTTATTGCCTACAAATCATTTCATTCCTTTTGGTCTTCCATATGCTTATTCTGCTGCCTTATAGCTCGTAAACTAAGATTCCAGCTTCCTTGTGACCCTGTTACCTCATGGCCTCTTCCTGTATGTCTTTTCAGATTCTACTCCACCTAGTAATTGCTCAGTTCTATCAGCTTGAGGGATGTTTTAGGGTGACACATGGTGAGACAATCCTGTGGCTGGGCTTTGAAAACTGACAAAGATTTGGAGGGAAAGAAGAAAGTCATCATATTTCTTGGCTAGAAAAACATAACATGAACATATTACTGGGGCACAAAGAAGAATGATTCTCCAGAGCAAGAAAGCATGCTAGAGATGATCAAGAGATCATTCAAGATGCAAAGGTGGAGTGGCACTGATTACAGGAGTTTTGGAAGAAAGGATCCATTGAATGAAGGTTTTTGAGCAAAGCACTCATCTGGCCTCTTCATTATTTCTACAGCCACATCAACTTTATTTGAACCCTGATCTTGCTTTTACCCAATGGCCAGATATTTCTGGTTCCTAATTCTTCTCCATTTGTTCTAACATGCCAGGTTTGGGTGAATGTTGTCAGGCTAGTGATAAGAAGCAAGAAACAGCACTTAGGTATGAGGCACACCTTTTGCCATTGTCCTGTGGTTAAGTTATACCAGCAGTTCTCAAACCTATTGGACTCAATGTTTGTTTTTTAAAGAAAGACTTCTGTAATTCTTCTTTACTATCTTGAAATAAAATTCATCTATACTATGATGGATTTACATACCTAATTGTATAGGATGCACTGTATGCCCTCAAATTCATATCATGAAGTCCTCACCCCATTACCTTAGAATATGTCTGTATTTGGAGGCAGAGGTAATTAAGTTAAAATTAGGTCATATGAATGGGCCCTGAGTCAGTGTGGCTGGTTGTCACAAGAAGAGGATATGTGGACACAAACACACAAGGGGGGAAGACAATGTGAAGACACAGGGAGAAGACAGCCATCTATAAGCCAAGAAGAGAGAACAGATTCATCCTTCACAGTCCTCAGAAAATAGCAATCCTGTGGACACCTTGATCTCGGACTTCTAGCTTCCCTTACTGTGAGAAAATAAATTTCTGTTGGTTAAGCCTCCCAGTCCTCAGTTATGGCAGTCCTAGGCAAATAGGAATGATAAATCATGACTTTGCTGTGATGTAAAACAGAAACAAATGGAATGTAATTTACAATGGCATATGTATTTCCACATTTTAAAGGCTCGAGTACTACTATACCAAAAGATAACATTTACACTAATACTGTGCATGCAACCAGCTATAAATCATGATGGAGTGACAACACAAATGCAGGCTGAAACAGATGGCTTGCAGTATTGGCCACTCAAATACAAAATCTTGAGTGACACTACCATTGGCACACCATTTTCTGAAAGAGTGAAAAACTCTTGGTGAAGTGCCAAACAAAACAAAGAGCAATCTTCCTTCAATTTAAATGGTAGTTATAGTCCTGGAAAATTCAAGAACTACGTTGTATTTTTGCAACACAGAAACAGGTGCTAGGCAAAGATAATTATAAATACGTTTTTTAACTATAACATGAATATTCTGTGGAACATTTGAAAGTCACAGCCAGTTCCTCATTTTTCTGTGCATGCTGCAGGATGTCAGATGTTTAGCATCCTTGGCCCACATCCATGTCAATCATCATGACAACTAAAAAATGTACCCTGAGTTCCAAAATATTCCCTACGTGTTCCCTAAAGGGGAGTACCACTTTTGTGTAGAAACAGTGAGATACAAGAAAAATAAAAGATGCAATTTATGGGCTTTTGGGGAGGGGGTTCGGTCGTCCTTCACCCCCACGCCCTGCCAGAACCACTAGAGGCAGAGAACTGGGGACTTGGTGACATGAGATCCCACAGCAGGCAAATCAAGGAAGTGGTATGTATCTTCTGAACAGCTATTGTTGAAAGTCCATCTTGACATTGGCTTTCAGCCTCATGCAGGTGGGTAAAAGGCTTCTTTGTTTGCTTAGACTTAAGAGGCCTCAGATACTTGAAGCTTGGTAGAGTCCAGCAGCTGTGGGCCTGCCTTTCTCCCTGTGTGTTTTTGTTTGTATTTGGGGTTTGCAAAGGGCTAGGAGTGCTGCTGTGATTGCAGAAGCAACAACGGCCAGAGCACAGCCCCAGAGAAGCATCTTGACAAATCCTGCTGTTCATTTCCCTGCCCCTGTTCCTGGACTGTTGACCATTCATTGTTGGAGAAAATCACATGAACCAAGAAGTTGGTTCCACCAGAAAGCTATGATTTCTAACCATGACTGGGCCCTGAAGGGTGCACCCAATCCTTTGTTCCACTCAGCCTGTCATGCAGGCATGTTTCCAACTTACTCTCAACCTTACTCTTTCCCTTCTCTCTTCAGGAACTCAAATTTCACCCTTGTTGTCATGTTCTGTAGAAGACTTTTGTATATTTTACTGCGACAACCAGCATCATTGTCCTGAAGGACTTCCTTCCTTTTCATCTCAAAATTTATTTTCCTCTTGCACAAGAGGTAGCAAAGTTCACTTTGCTGTCCGTTGCCTGAAATGACTGTTTCTCCCCTTTCCAAGGAAGCATGCTTCATTGATTAAAGATCTTCATATTTCCCCTTTCAAGTGCCTCCTCCTCTCACTCTTTGCCTGGAGATATACTAGATGAGTCAGAACCCTTTGGTTGCAAGCAGCAGAATCCAAGTTCAATGCACTTTAGCCAGAAAAAGGAGACTTTATTCTAAGGAATCAAGGATACTTCAGAAACCCAATGGTAAGGAATGCCATGGTCTCAAGAAAGGACTTGAACTTGAATTGCAAAGCCATTAGCACTCTTTCCCTCCTCCTTTTCTTTTTCTCTTGGTTTGCTTCATTTTTCTCTTGTACACTCGCTTCTTGTGGCTTCATATCCACAAGGTAGAATCCCAGTTCCAGGAGAGAGACTCTTACTTGCCTAGCTTGGACCAGGTCCAGGCCCCTGGCAAGTCCAGCTTAAATGGCTTAACAGAGACTGGAGTTACCCTCCTGCCTGAACTAAGTAAATACACAAAGTAGAGAGGCAATGGGTTTTGAACATGGATATTTGAGAGTATCCAGGCTGCAGCACAAGATGAAGATACCCAAGAGGAGCCCAACAGACTCCCTGAGTTGAGGAGACAGAGCTGGGTGTCCAGGGAAGACACAGTAGCTAGAGGTAGCAGGACAGAATACCAGAGAGAAGAGAGCTTCAGAGAAGATGCTATTTTATTGCATCTTCAGCTGAGTACTGATTAGTACATTTCTGTAAAGAAACCACTGGAATCCAGGAAAAGAGCCACCTAAAAGGAGCAGAGGGAACCCTCCTTGGAGCTCTCTCAGGGCCTGAACTAGTTTGTTCCCACCAGTCAGAATGGCGAGTCTTGTCATTCGCAAGGTATTCAGTGGACTATTCAGAAGGGTATCTATCTATCACCTCAGCTGTGGGAAAACATTATTTGGTCCTCAAGTCTGTTCTGGTCCTGCCTAACGGAGCTTACATGGAAACCTGAAAGAATCCAACTGTTTCCAAGTATCTTAACTGCCTCTCAGAACAAAATTTAAGATTATTTATTGAAACACAAAAATACCCAGTACCCAAAGTAAAACTCATGATTCTGGCATCCAATCAACCTCCTGGCCATAGAAAGGAGGCAAAAAATGAAGAGGAAGAAACAATGCTAAATCTTTCCCAGAAATTCTCTGAAGGTTATAGTGTGGGCTCTTCTCCCATTGTAAAGCATTATTATTTTCTTATTCACAGACCAAAGTATTGTTTGACTTATTACAATGAGTCTCCATGGCTACTGTTACTTAAAAAAAACTTTGTGAGCAAAAGAATTATGAAAAAGAGAAAGCCAAACAAAAAGCGGACAAAAAAAGTTTCTGCAGTGCTTTAAAACTTACCAAGTTCATTTCTCCCTATTTCCTTCCCCAATACCTCTGCAGAAAGTCCTCTCTCTTTCTTAACTGAATCTCTTACCTTTCCTTCTCTTCTCAGGCTGTTTAATTGAATATAGAATGTGTTGCTCGTTTTTGGAGAAAATTTAATTTCTTTTCTGGTTTTCAAAAGGGCAGATTTTAACGTTTCGCGTGTACTTCCCAACACCCCGCCCCCGACCCCCGCTGGCAGGTAGTTCAGCGCCTTTTGTTCTGCCCACCACCCCCCTCATCGGGGCAACGGCATTGGTGGGTGAGGGCTCCCCCTGCCCCGCTCTATTTGCCTGGAACCCACCTGCCCTGTCCTTAAGCAAAACAGAATTGCGACTTTGGCTCATTGGCCCACATGGCAGACTAGTCCCACACCTCCTCTTTTTCCTCAGGTGAAACCTTTCTGGCTTGGAGTGGGAACAGGCTGTGGATGAAGTGAGGGAAGAGGAGGGATGTCAGGAGGGCGCGAAAAAAGCAGACCAAAAAAGCGGGACAAGAGGCACAGGGTTGGTGGCCCGCCAATGAAAGGACCAACCACTCAGGAGGGAGAGGGAGAAGCGCGAGTAAGGCGGCCAGATCCGGGAGGAGAGAGAGCAGGGGAGACGCGCGAAGGCCGAACTCCCAGCAGCCAGACCCCAGATCGGAACGCGGGAGACCGGGAGGAGGGGGTCCGTGCGCCCGGGTCCCGGGGGACGTGTGCAGTCGGAGGACAGATCCCGGGTCTGGTGCGGTCCTGCCCGCAGCCGTCTGGGATGGGCGAGGCGAGCCGGGTGTGCTCGGGCTACTACAGCCTCAACCACAGCTTCGTGGAGTCCTTCCAGTGTCCCCGGCACGGCGAGGCGGCCACCCTCCTCTACTGCTGCGGCTTCGCAGACCTCAAGTACTGCTGCAGCGAGCCGGGCAGCTACTTTCCCTACAAGCACAGCTACATGTGGAGCCTCAGGTGGGCAGGGCAGATGGCTGGCGGGCCGGGGTCCTGGGAGGCGGCGGGCAGTGCTACAGCTGGAGGGGGAAAGTCGCCCGCGTTCCGCGACTCGCTCAGGTCAGGTCTCTCCCGAAGGACACGGAACGAACTATCGAAGGCGGGTGAGGGCTCTGCAGAGAAAACCGGCCCGCTAGGAGATAGATGCCCAGGGAGCCGGGACTCCTCACGCAAGGTGGGGCCGTTGCCACTATGAGTGTGAATTCTCTCGGGACCCCAGGCGAGGCGTGCGGGAGGAGCGCGGGCTCTGCGCCTAGGGCGCACTCAGCCGGCCCCTGCCGGCCAGGCTCAGTTCCCCGCCAGCCCCGCCTCAGCGGGTTGCTCTTCACTCTCTCTAGGGACCAGTCCCAGGCAGGTGACTCAGCTGGCAGAGACAAAATATGCAGATAACTTAAGAAGATTTTAATTTTCTTTTTGATTTGATTGGGCACTTGGTGCATTTGAATAGAAGGGGGTTCCTATGAGACACATTTTAAGGCTTTAGCCGAGGATCTGAGTATTTTAAGCCGCTTTGGAGGTGGAAAGGAATTGACAGTATTCTTTAAAATATCAAAAAGTTGGTGGGTTGCATGTGTGTGCACATGTGCTCGCACAAGCCAGCCAGCCAGCAAGCAAGCAAGTGGGCTTTATAATGCCCTTTCCAAATGATCTTACACTGACCCCAAACCGAAATGGAGATACAAAGAGCCACAGAGAGGTATATATACACAGTTTGAGGTGCTAGTATTATGCACTCTGTAGAACCTTTCCAGGACACCCTCTTTCTCAACAGGGTGGTCGTTGCTAAAAGTGAAGAGATTTTCTCAGGTGCAATCTTTCTTGCTTCTTTTTCCTGTAATGGGAATTTTACTTATTCCAACTAGTATTTTTGCAGATATTTTTCATTCTGAAGTGCTTTTCCTCCCCTTATACTCCAAAGGTTTGCAAACTTTGAACTTGATTTTTTTCCTTTTGCCTACAGAATGAATGGAGTGTCAGGATTACAGGAAAGAACTTACACCTACCTTCCATCTTAAATTGTTTCTTTCAAATGAGTGAAGGAGGGATGGAGACAGAAAGAGAGAGAGACAGCGAGCACTACTAAGAGGAAGAATACAGGGTGGGCAAAAGTGGGTTTACAGTTCAGGAATGGAGCTAGAAGAGGATGCCCTTGCGGCGGCTGCAGAAGCTTCCAGTGGAGCTGGGGCAGCCTCTTCACAAAATAACCGATGGCATTTATGGTGGAACTTATCCTCTTTACCAAGATTATCTGAGTGTTTGGGATTCCACAGAATGGACGCATGTTCTAGAAGATATTACCCAATTTTTCAAAGCTGCAGTTGGTGAGAGCCCAGGGTATAGTATTGGCCTGTGTATCTTCTCACAGACATGTGCTGAAATATTTTGTTTGCATTCTATATTCCAGTGCCTATTGGTTACCTGGCATTCACAGTATCCAACTTTGTGTCACTGGGTCCTGTGTCTAAGCATTTTGAATTTTTGTAAAAAGTGTGTCCCATTACTGCTGTACATTTACTAACTTCCTTTACAAAACAGAAGTAGAACTGCAAGTACATCTTTATCACAAGTTAGGCAGAGTTCATGTATGTCTTTCAATAGTTTTAATAAGTAATCTCAGTCTACCATAAGAAGAAAAGCTGTAGCTGGTAAAAGATTATCTGATGAACTAAAATCTTAGCAGTTGAATCAGTTGAAGTCATTTCATCAAGAAGCAACCATGAAGTGCTTGAAAAGTCGGAACAATGAAAGGGAGCAGGCTCTGCTGGAAGAAACGGTTGATATTTCCTCTGTACAGCTAAGGGTTTCAATGGACAGTTAAAGCTTGCACTTTCCAGAGATGAGACTGCTACATTACAAACACTACTTTTAAACCTTCATCTAGATGCAAAGGAAAATGGTAAAGTCAAACCTTATTTTTTGAAATGAATAAAGAAGAGATGTAGAATCTAAAAAATTCCTTGGAAGGAGCTAATAAGGTCATCCTGCCATGGAAATAACTGGAAATGAGGAATACGAAGATGATCAGATTCCATTGCTACATCTGATATGACAGAGTGAATACTGTGTGTTCAGAAAAGCTAAGTTATACTATTATGCCAAGCTGAGAAAGCAGCAGTATTGAGATTATACAGATAAAAATTTAGCAGCTTCTATAAAGAAGAGGAAATTACATGGTTGACAGGAAACACATACAAAAATTAAAGATAAATAGCTATAATAGCAGTTTAGATTTTCATAACCTGCTTCATTTATTAAATATTTGGGAACTCTTTATAGATACAGAGTTTTACTGAAAACTAAGAATAGGCTCTGAAGTAATGTAAACATACAAAGCACAAATAAACTTGAATCTTGCTTTAAAAAGTATGTGAACAGCAAGGGTGTGTATTATGGTTATATATGACTAATTTGTGATTGAAAAAATAAAGAATGTATAAGCTGCCTATATAACTCAGGAGATTCCATACCTTTCTCATATTTTAAAGGAAAGATTAAAATGTAAAATTTCTTAGAGAAAGAAGCTCTTCAGAAATGAACAAGAAAAAAACTAAATCTGTGTGAATAATTTTGAGTTTATGAATTCCAGAAACTAACATCTTATACTGGAACATAGAAAAAAATGCAATAGCACTGCTATGTTTGTATTTCTGGGCCTGTTTGGGAGAGTACGTGCTGATAAAAGAATACGTGCCATTGCACAGGGTGTATATTACCGTCTGATATCAGCCTCGACCCTCTATATGCCCGTGTTTATTGTAAACTCTTAACATTGAATTTCACAGTTTTGGATGTTAACTTTATTGGCACACAGATCATTTTTAATTCCAGCTAAGTTTAAAGATAAACATTCTGAGCAAATAAAAACACAATTTTATTTTATTTTAAAAAGCATGTTTACAGTTGTGAGTAAAAACAGAGTTTATTCTGGTGTTATTATTTATTAATTGTTGCAGTATTCTCCATATGGACAACTGTAAACCTGCTTGTGCCCCACCCTCCATCGTTCCTCCCAGTCTCCTAGGACGGTCCGGAATTTGGCACACATGCCGAGGCTACAGCTGATGACTTCAATGTTATTCCCTGAAGCAGTAAAAATAAATGTTTTATGTAATGAGAGCTTCAGAAAAAATCTCAAAAGTAGTGCCCACTTACCAATGAGTTCAACTTACAAAGCTGTATTGTGTCAGAGTGAGGGGAATGCTCAAAAAATAATGACAGCTTATTCTTACTACTTGGAGTAGCAATCTCGATTGCACTGGCATATTACTTGGCCCTCTGGAAAATATTATAGGAACCCAGCTCTGAGTCTTCGGAGGTGTTGATAATGGTAGCAGCGCCTCCAAGAGAGACTGGCAACTCTTAAGTCAAACTCAATTGTTTGAATTAAATCTCCAAAGTGCCAGGGATTCTCATATTCCTGACTCACTGCAAAGTAACAAGTGGCAGAGGCTAAAACTCCTCCTAAGATTTGTGAAGGCACAAAAGAATGGACAGCTTGCTGGGGCCTTGTTTCAGCACTGACAACACGGACAGTGCTCTTCAGTTCCTGGGAAATACAAAAATTTTCACAACTGACAGCATCAGCAGGTGATGCTAAAACTGGAGGTCTTGTTAGTTATTAAGCTCTGAGGACACGCTAGGGAGGTAAAAAAAACTAGAGCTTTATTCCCCTCATATTCTTTTCTCTCCACCCCTAATTTAAAATAGTCCAACTGCAAAAAAAAATAGTCCAGAAGTCATTAATATTTGTTGTGAGATTCTGCAGCTGCTGGAGAACGGCAGAAGTAAGTTGCTCGGCAGGAGAATCAATCGCTCTGTTTACATGATGACAGCCTCGGATCCTCTCTCAGGGACTGCCACACAGTGCCGTGATGAAAGAATGATTCTTCCTTTTCCGTGTCTGGACACTCCTGTCTTTTCTTCTCTTATAGATCCCCATTTTCTTAGGTTTTAGCCTTCTTCAGGACCTAGAAAAATAATGCCTATTGCACAGGGTGATGCTTGAGTTCAGTAAGTATTTGTCAAAATTAATATTTTAAGAGATTCGTAGAGCTCCATCTTTACCTAGAGGTTCGCATGCACCAAGCAATGTTTCTATGAAGTGGAACTCGGACACTGAAGCAGTTCGTTGAGATTGTGAAAAACCCCCTGTTAAAACAGAAAGCAAAAATAGCATGCTCTGTTTTTGTTTTTGCTTCAAATCATGTGGACTGGCTTTTTAAATATGCACATTAGAAGCCTGCAATATGTATGTTGAATTTAACTAATTTGACAATTTTACTTTTAAATGGACTTAATTGTGTTTTTACTTTGAAGATTTAAAAAAAAAATAACTGGGTTCTCATTTCAGGAATCTTTCCAGATGTCTGGCCTCCTAGCTGCCTTGTGCAGTGGATAATGTTAATGAAGTGGGTTGTTGCCTTGTGTCTGTGCAGAGGCCTAACCCTCCCTGATCTATACAGACTACGAAAGTCAGCTTTGGTGCAAAAGGCAAGAAAGAGGAGTTGCCAAAGCTGGGAGTCTACCTTTTGGGGTGCATCAAGTGAGGGCACACTCCAGTTTAAATGTATAACTATCTACTGACTCTAACCACAGAATTACCAGTCTTCACTTGTGTGCAGGGCTAGGGGAACAGAGCTGACAAGAATAAACCCAGCACACGAGTATCTGGAAGTCTGACTCCATACCTGTGGCTCAAGAGGCAACCCCTAAATTGCAGAAGTGCTTTACCTCTTAAAAACAAGGATAAGTTGGACGAGCTTAGCCCCTAACTTTTAATTCTGTTCTCCTGACTCCCGAGGCAGTGCCGCACCTGGCAGCACTGCTCAAACTCTCCCTTCCCTCCCTCTCGGTACACGCCGAACTTGTCGTGGCCCTAATGTCTGGGAAAGAGCAGAAGCTTATGGGGAAGCTGGGAAGATAACGAAGGGAAACATCATTACTTGTCAGTGATGATGACTTTTCAATTACAAGAGGGCCAATCACCAGTTCATTATTGTTTACTTCCGTCTATGGAAGTTTTACTACAAACTAAGTACTCTATAAACACTTTTCCTAAGTTTTCACAGCACTACGGGAAAGTCAACAGAAGTATCTGCCCTTGGGCAGCTTAAAATCTAATTATAGATATGTACACACCCACCCATACGTACATACGGTTCCGGAAAGTACATATATTTGCATGTCTTTCAGAATAATTCTTTTTTTCAAGCTCCATGTAAACTATGTTAGTTCTCAAATGATTAGCCTTATAGATAACTATATCAGAAAGAATTACTACAAATTTGGTACAGAGCAAATAATATCTCAGATACACACCTTATTTTCAGAGGAAAGTACAAGGGTTTCTTCTTTAATCCTAGAAGCTATTGGTGTTATGCTCTTTTAGAAAGGAAAAACTCAGACCGAACATGAACTTGATATGAATTTTGTAACTATATCTCTCCTTTAATTAAGTCTTCTTTTTATCTTTTGTTAGCTATGGTTTTGCATATTAGTAAATGATATCTCCCATACATGTCTCAAAAAAAGTTCTGCATTTCTGGTAAACATTTGTTTCACTACTTTCACAGAGGTAAGTATTTTTATATTCGGCTTCCCAGTCTTTGCTCCTAGAATATATTAATAACAGAGGCTTGACTGAAATGTTTTTGAACTATCTCCAGAGTATCCTGTAACATTTTACCTATCATATGAATTCACATGATAGTCTATGCTAATATTAACATATACAAGGAGGACCCACCAAAAGTGGAATTTGTTTTAAAAATTGTGTATTTATTCTTACATGTTTAGACTTCAGTCACCTTCAAAGTACTCTGCATTTGATGCAATACAGCTAGCAAGATGTTTTCTTCGCTGCTCAAAACAGTTTTTGAACTCATCAATTTTGATGCCTTTTAGTGCTTCTGTTGTTTTTTGTTTCACCTCTTCCATGTCAGCGAAATGTTTTCCTTTGAGGACTTTTTTCATCCAGGGGTACAAAAAAATTGGATTGGGGTGAGATCAAGTAAATAGGAAGGGTGGGGCACAGGGGGTCATGCTGTTTTTGGTTATGCAGTTAAAAACTGCTGAACGCTCAGCACAGTGTGGGCAGGTGTGCTTGTAAATCACCCATCATGAAATGGGCAAACACATTGGAGGAGACTTCAAAAAAATTCACTGAAGCTGAACGCAGCCTGTCACAACAATGCCAACTGGCACACTGATACAGATGGGTTCCTGGAATACTCACCTAGTGGGGGAAGCCTGTACTACAAAGGGCCAGCCCTCCAGAAGATAATTCTGGGTTTTGGGGGGGAAACCCTTCATATATGTATAGAGAAAATATAATAAGACTTTGACAGTAGAAAAATGTGAGTGGTAGATTTCAACCACACACTGTTTATACTAAACTATAAGGATCATGACTATCTGAAGGAAGAAGTAGCAATATTTAAACCTCCCCTTTAGTTCCTATGCAAACCAGAATGTTTTCTGTTTTCCTCAGCATTGGTGCCCTGACTGGATTGGGAATTGCTGCCCTTGTTTTACTGGCCTTTGTCATCAGCGTCTGTGTCCTTTGTTATTTATTTCTGTATACAAAGCCTCAACCATTAGACACTGGCCTGAAACTTCAACACCTAGAGGCTTCGTCTACTCAAGAAGGTAATCTTTATCCATTATTTGTAGCCAATTACCTGTACTCTGTTTGAAAGAATAACCTGTACCTGGGTAACAGATCATAATGTTAATGAATGCTTTTTAAAAATTCAATTCATTATGTGTCTTTGTAAAAATTCACATTAAATTAGATCTTAATGATGAAATACTTTAGAGAAATTGTGCCCAAGGAAAAATAGCAGCAGGATGTAGATGTTCTTGTGAAAAATAATACATTGAGCCAATAAATCCACTTTAATATGTTTATGACTTTCAGTTATAAAGGTTTTATCTTCTTGGAATTTTTAAATTTTGTTGTTGATAGAGCCACAGAAGTCAAATAAATAGAGAAACAAAACACCTGATAATGGATTCTCAATGCTGTGTTACTCCAGATTGGTCAGTCAATGGTTAGTTAAGCATGTACCTGTGTGTGTATGGTGTAGGGAATTCAGAGGAGCCCTATAAAGTGATTCAGAGGCATGTAAAGGACACAGAAAAATAGATAGAAGAATCTCTGTTCTTAAATAGATTATGAACTAGTTAACATATAGTGGTGGGTGCAGCATGACTATGGAGATGCTATACAAATGCAAATTGTTATCACTAAGGAACTCAGAAAGAACTGTTAATATTTTGTGAATATCAATTCCTATGAGTGTATTTAAAAAGTAGGAATAATAAATTTTATTTTGTTGTATTTAGAATATATTTTAATGAACATTTAGAACATATATTTAGAATAAAACAGAAATGCTCACTAACTTCCATGTAAAAAGAAAAATTTTTAAGTTGTATAAGAGAATCTAGAAAATTCTCTGCTCCTATGCTCTGTTGTAGCTGAATCCTGAAACTTATATTTATGGAGCACATGCTCTGTGACCTTTCAGATGTGTGCACACTGCTACTGCAGGATTGCATTAGCTCTCGCTTCCTTCGCTGCAGGGAGCTCTCTTGGAGGGTATCCTGAGTCACAGAGCTAGAGGCCAAGATCTCTCAGAGGTCTCTTTCTGAAATCTGGAAACTGCATGGCCGAACTAACAGGTTGTTACGGGTTAGATCCTCTTTCTCCACAGGCAAAATGAGGCAGTGGACTAGTGATTATGAAATAATCACACCCATAAAATCGACTTTTGTCTCAAATTGCTTAGATAATTTAAGGTGGCAGTTCTTAAATTTTACCGTGCATAAGAATCACTTAGGGAGCTTCTTAAAAGCTGCAAACTCCAGGCTCTGCCTTTTAAAACAAATAGTTCCTCTTCCTCCACTGCCCTGGCTCCCCTGCTGTCTGCTCCTCAAAGAACAGCCAGAGTAAGCCTGATAAAACCAAAGTCATGTCTTGTCACTCCTGCTCAAAACCATCATCACTTTCCATCTCTCTCCATAGATGTGTCACCTCCACTGTGACCTCCAGGGCTGTTCTTGTCTGCTCTCTTCACCTTGATTTCTCTCGTCCCCTTATGCACAGCCACATTGGCCTCTTTGCTGTGCCTTGAAACTTCTGTCTCAGGGTTTTCGTACCTGTTGTCACTATTGTCTAGAATGCTTTGCCTTTAGACAGCTGCATGACTTGCAGTTTCATTTTCTTTAAATGAAATGACCGGAAGTTCTCCCCCGGTCACTCTATCTACATTGTAACTGCCCTTCCACAATTCCTGCTTTATTTTTCCACTAAGCATTTACCACTATTACACAATATGTTCTAGTTATCTATTGTCTAACTTTCCTCTGCTCCAGCTAGAAAGTAAGTTCTAGGAAAGTAGTACTTTTTGTCTTGTTTTCTCACTACTGTATTCCTAGTGTCTCAGAACAGCTAACAAATGTTTCCTCAGTGAATTGAATGGCGTGGCCCTGCACCCCCACTGTCAGCAAAGGAATTCAACAACCTTTCTTGAGGGCTTGCTATTGGTGAGGAAGGATTCTATATGACCACTACCTTCTTGCTGCTTCCAAATGAAGGGCTTTTGGTCCTTTGGGTTGATTTTAACCAAATCAGACATAGTGGAGAGCCCAAAACAAATCATCCAAATGTCCCTGGAACAGAAAGAGAAAATGGTTTCTATTTGAAAGTGACCCATATGAAGCAATAAATAAAAGCCATTGGTGTACCTATTGTTCAAAATCCATGCTTCATTTCACTCCAATGGTTCTCCCATGTGGGAATAGATGCCAGGGTTCCGGCTATAAAGAAAACAAGTCTTTATTAAACAAATGCCTTACAGTTAGGAACATGATCAAATGTTTGTGCAATAATCAAACAAGTAACCATTTATCAGAGGAAATTTGGTTTCACCAGTTAGCACTCCTTTCTTTGAAAACTTCCTATCCTTAAGAGGCAAACTCCCTTTATTTTAAATTAATTTTTACAATCAAGACTGTTTTCATTATAGGTAATTTGAATGTCCTCAAGGGAAATGTGTTTTTTTGTGCATACCTAAAGCTGACTTAGGGCACTGGAGGGTTTTGTTTTGTTTTTTTAATCGCTATAAATGACAATAAGTTTAAAATAGTCGAATCTTAAACAAATTTGCCAAGATGTGCCCTTCCTGTATTTGTATTCTACTGGGCTTCATTCTTTACACTGTACAGCTTAAGGCTTTACCCATCCTGAATTGATCTCAAAGGAAGCTGCTCTTTGGCCATGACTGCAGGTTTAATCGAGCCCCCTCCAGGGCTCCCTTTGTGCAGAGGTGTCCTCTTGCTAAGCAATTGACTGGCTTTTAAGTTGTGAGTCATAACCATTTTCTTCCTTTTTAACTCTGATGTTTTGAGTGATGCATGTTTCAAATGCCAATGCTTAAAAGAATGCCACGGTTCGTAAATTGTGCTGTGTAAGATGTACAGTTCTGGGCAGAAGATGGCTGTGTGAAGGGCAGGCATCTTTCTGAGCAGACACTCTTGAGGGTGAGGGCTCATTTCAAAAGATGTGGAAGAATTAATGGCTAACAGAGGACCAGTGGAAGGGTGAGAGTCTTGGATTCCTGCTTCCCAGATTCTTCCATCGGGGAACCCTTAAAGGGAAATTGAAAAAGCACTTGGTGCCTTCAGAATTTCAAGGGATAGAATGGAAAGGCTTGCCTTAAGCCTTAGGAGCTTTCAATTATTTCAAGTTGCACATTTTATTTTTTGAATTTGTGGGAATTTTCAATTTGACTGCACAATATAATGGCTTCCTTTGCTTTAACGATATCTCCTTTCCATGTATGAACAAAACTGATGCTCCAGAACAACAAAGCAAATTCATCCTGTGATTTTGAATATCCATTGACCCCCTGCAGTTGCGGAGTGGGGTGAAGAATACAGGAGAGGTGTTAGAAGCAGAGCTTTTGATGAAAATTAGAAGGCAGATAATAGCCCAGCTGCCTGGCACACATAAATGATACAGTTGTATGGGAATAATAGACAACTCCAAGCCTGTATTTGGTGAGTTCTTTTGTACAGGCAGGTGATATAAATGACAAAGGGTAAGCAAATCAGTGGTACTACATGCCTGTCTAGGAGAAAAACATAAATTATATCTGGAATACTGAGAAAGGAAGCAAATGGAAAATTGCAGAATAAACGAATCATTTATTCTGCCTGTGAGCACAACAGGACTTGGACTGGCTCAGAAAGATCTGACATTTTTCTACTTCTTAGAGGACACCTTCGCTCCCAAGTTAAAAACGAGAACAAAAACAAAAACTTTCAATTCACTTTCACTGGAGGAAAATTAGAAAATACAGAGAAACAGACAAATAACATCATTCATGATCCCACCACACGACACTAATAGATATTAACACATGGTGAACACCCGTGGATTTTTTTCCTATGCATCTACAGACACATGTACAGAACAAAATGGGGGAAATGAGTCTTATAATAACATGTCTTTTTTTTCACTGAGCAATACAGATATCTTTGTTTGCCAATGAAGAGATACCTTTGCCATCATTTTTAACGGTTCCAGTTTATTACCCTGATGGCATGTAAGAGTTTTTATTCTTTTATTTTGATATAATTTCACAATTCCAGAAAAAAAACTTCAGAGGTTACATCCCTCTTCTCAGATTTACTAATTGTTAATATTTTGTGTAATTTTCATCAACTTTTTCTTGACATATATTTTCTGAACTATTTGAAAATAATTTGCAGATATCATATTTTTAACTATAAATATTTCAGTGTGCATTTCCTAAGAACAAGAATTTTTTCTTACATAATTATAGTGTATTTATCAAAGTGAGGATATATAACATTGATACAGGAGTATTATCAAAACTGCTCTCATATTCAAAATTTGCCCATATCCTCAATAGCTATTTTTTATTTCAGAGCTAGTTTGGAATTACACCTTGCAATTAGCTGTCATATTTCTTTAGTTTTCTTTAATCTTCAGTCTTATTTTGTCTTTCATGATCTGGACATTTTTGAAAAGTAAAAGCCAGTTATTTTGTACGTGTCCCTCAATTTAAATTTGTCTGACATTGTCTCATGATTGAAGAGAGATTACATATCTTGACAGAAATACCACAAAAGTTATATTCTAAGGGCACCAAAACAGGAAGCACGTAATATTGGTGTGTTCCATTACTGGTGATGTTAACTTGGATTTTTCAGGTAAGGCTGTGTTTGCTGGATTAATCCATTGTAAAGCCACTGTTTGTCCCTTTGTCGTTACTAAGTAGTTGGTGGGGAGGTACTCTGAAGCTCTGAAAGTATCCTGTTCCCCCTGAAACTGATAGCCCACTCATTAATGGTATGCAATTGAATTTCGTCATCATCAGAATTTCAAAATAACTTCAGGATTATTGTTGTGATAGGTGTAAATGGTGACTTTCTAACCTCATCACTCCTTCTACACTTATCAGTTATTCAGCTGCAGGAAGAGCTTCCCCTTCTTCCCTATTTGCCTGTTTGTTTAGTAAAATCAGCATAGACTCAGATTCTTTATCCTAAAACACTCTATTACAACCACTATTTATTTTGATCCTTGAATTGTTTCAGAGTTAGCCTGTGGGAGCCACTTTAAACTAGGTCCAGTGTCCTTTTGAAATGTGTCCATTATTTTTAAGCTTTTTTTTTTTTTTGGCTTTCTGTCACAAGATGTTCCAGGGCTGTACTGTCCCTGTTCCAGCCCTGGAACCTGCCATTTCTCCAAGAAGCCTGCTTCATTTCAGTTGTGAATCATGTTCAGAAACTAGAGTCTGGGCATGCCACATCTTACTCAGTTATTGACCCTGACCTGGCTTCCATTTTTCTCTGTTACACACACACACTGAACACTAAGTGAAGTTGCCGACCAAAGCACGGGAGCCTCCTGGAGGCTTTGGATGCCAGCTGCTACCTGCCCTCCAGAAAAATGCTGTTTCATGGGTATTATTTCAAACGGTGTATATTTTACCAGTTTCATTCAGAGACATAATGTCGTGTCTTGTTTTATCAAATTAGGAATAAGAATGGACATTTTAAAGTTTGTGATTTTTTTTATGGCATGTTTTTGCTCGTGTCTTACACAAACTTATCTACGGCAGTATTCTTTTTTCATTGCTTCATGAGAACTTTCCTTACAACAACTAAATTATTTTTCACATATATCACAAAGGTTTTTCACGGATATTTCCTTTTTAATTTTGTATGTGACAGTCTTTTAATTTGTTTCACCTTTTGTGATTTTTCTCTTTAGCTTCAACTTAGAAATTTCTCACCTTACTGTGAAAATATAAAACATTCACCTATTTTTTTCTTCTAATACATTAATTCATTTGTTTTTAACATTTAAATCTTTGAAAAACTTGGAATTTTAACTTTGGTTAAAGTATGAGGTAGAGATTTGCCTTCATTTTTATTTTGCAAATAAGAAGTCAATTGTCCACATATTTATTGGAAAAGTCATCTTTCTTTTGCCAATTTAAAATATCACCTTTGTCATAAATTCTTATATATACAGGGATCTACTTTTAGATTTTCTGTTCTTTCAAATTTATCAGTCTGTTTATTCTTAAGCTAGTAACATACTTTTAAAATCATTGTAGTTATAGAGTTTACTATCTGATTAGGCAAGGCTTTCTCTTCTCTCCCATTATGCTTCTTTTTCAAAATTTCTTGGCTACTCTTGTAAGGGCAGATTTCCAAATAAGCTTATGAATAACACAGTCAAAATTTTAAAAACCAAGTGGCATTTTGATGGTTTTTGTACCCCATTTACAGATACCTTTCTGAACTATTTTTCTTAGTGGGCTTAACACATCTCCAACAAAACTCTGCTTAAAACTCACTAATTAGGCTGCCAAATTACCTTGTAATACCATTCTTTGTTTCAGAAAGGCTTTAAGAATTCATTAAGATTTTAGTAGAAGATGAACTAATTTGAACTCAATGGCAGAAAAGGCCACTTGTGGCTCCTAAAGGGAGCTTTCTACTTAAAATAATGAGCCTGGAATTTCCTATGGTTGTTTTTGTTCCTAAAATGTAGAAAATCAAATTGCTCAGCAGAGCTACTGCTACATTTAGCATTTGTGAGTCGTCCTCAGGGCACAGCATTAGCCGATCCTGGCTGATGCTGGAACCAACAAGCAAAATACATCCCTGTCTCTTATTGTGAAAATGCGGTTAAAGGGCTTAAAACATCAGCTGAATTCTTTTACTAGTTATGTTAATCATCAATACATGAAAATTAACAATGCAGAAAATGTAAAGAAAAAAGGACCAATTATGGAATAAAATAGGGTAAGAAAACATTTCCAGATAAAACTGCCTTTACTCATTGACAAATGGACAAAGGAAAAGGTCAAGCCTAATATTTGAACTTTCACAGTGAATTTTTAACTACTGTATACAAGAGATACCTGTATATCCTTGATGGGGAGGCGGGGTGTTGAAGAAGTCAATAGTTCTGCTCATTTCACCATTTACTTCACATCCAGGTCTGTGCATTGTATTAAACTTGAGAGGAAACCACTCTCTTGTAAATTAAAAAAACTTATTAGGGTACAAACTTGAGAATGTTTGTTTCCACTAGAAAGCACGATGGGATGACAGGGGTGTGTAGATTTTCTCCTCAGTAATAAAGTGAGTCAGCTGGTGAGTAATGAGAAGCAGCTATATATGGGACTGCAGAGTGGTACACAGATGCCAGGGAACAGGCAGACAATGGCAGAAGAGTTTAGTTACCATTCTGCCAGGTAGCCAGGAGATGAAGACTGGCAGAGGTACCCAGCATTTATTTATTTATTTAGATATTTTGAAATGGCAGGCAAGAGCAGTGTTCATAAACAATAAAATACATAAAAGGAAATATAGGTACTGAACTTAAGGACCTTGGTCTCAGAAAGATTTTTGTAAATGTGTCCCTAAAGGCAAGGAGAGTAAAAGCAAAAATAAATGAATTGGGCTACACCACACTAAAAAGTTTCTATGCGGCAAAAGAAATCATCAATAAAACAAAATGGCAATGAACCAATTGAGAGCAGGTATTTGCAAACAGCACATCCAATAAAGGGCTAATATTCAAAATGTATAAAGAACTCATACAACTCAACAACAAAACAAACAATCCAATTAAAAAATGGGCAGAAAACCAGAACTGATACTTTTCCAAGAAGGTATACAGATATCCAACAGATATATTTTAAAAATGCTCAACTTTCCTAGCTGTAAGGGAAATGAAATCAAAACCCCAATAAAATACACTGCATACCAGTTAGAATGGCTGTTATCAATAAGGCAAGAATTAAAAAAGGAAACCTCATCCACTGTGGGTGGCAATGTAAATTGGTTCAACTGCTGTGGAAAACAGTATGGAGGTTCTTCAAAAAATTAAGAATAGAGTTACCATATGACTGCACAATCCCTCTTCTGAATATCTATCCCCAAAATTTGAAAACTATTTGTAAAGATGTATGTACTCCTCTGTTCACTGCAGCATTATTCATGGTGGCCAAGACATGAAAACAACCTAAGCGCCCATCAATAGGTGGTTGATATGAAGATGTGGTAAATACATACAATGGAATACTACTCAGCCATAAGAAAGGATGAAATACTGCCCCTCTGGACAACATGCACGGATCATGCTATGAGCATCAATTGAGAGCATCATGCTATATGAAATAAGTCAGATAGAAAAGGACAAGGACAATATTATTTCAGTTATATGTGGGACATCCAACAGAAAGAAACAAACCAAACAAACGCATAGAGCCAGACAACAGTATGATAGTGAGCAGAGGGGAAGGTGAGTGGGGGAAAGATGAAGAAGGTACAGTGGGTCACATATAAGGTGATAAAAGAAGACTAGAGTTTGGTGGTGAGCACACAATGCAATGTATAGAAGATGTAATATAGAATTGTACACCTGAAACTTGCGTAATGTTATTGACCAATGTTACTCCAACAAATTTAATTTTTAGAAAGCCGAGTTCATAAAAGAGTTATAGGATAAATGGACCCCCAAGGAATGTTTCTGAAAATGAATGTGAACTTTAACTCTTATTAGCAAGAAATATATTGGCCTAGTTTGTGATGAGGATAGGTAAGATTGTTTGATGTGATTTGAATGATGAATTTTATTCGTTTGATGTACTGGATTTAAATATTGGCAAAGGTTAAAGCTTTAATTTAAATGCCAGTATGAGAAGTATAGGATTAAAAGAAGGTTGAGATTTACATATGATGACCAGATCAAAAAGAAAAAAAAATAAAAATGGGAAACCAGCAGCAGAAAGCATCTGTCAACCAGGAAAGCACAGTGATGCTGGATCTTTCCCCCCCACCCCCCTAATCTGTACTCAGGTAAAGAAGAGGAGGAATTAGATAAGAAAAACCCTTTATGTGGAACAAATGCCTTGGGAGCTCAGTAGAATTATAGATTTCTTAATATAAATCGAATCCATATTGAAATTTTTGTGATGGAAAAGAGGCAGCTGGTTTTATCTCTATTTTGTTGGTTAAGAAATTAGCTTCTATGTATTAAAGCAACATAGACTTTTCCTTTTTTCTTTCTTAAAATCCTTCCAAAGGGATGCAGTTAGCTGGACTCTGTTATCACTGCAGCTCCACTCATCACAACTGGTTTTCCACATGTCCAATTACCCTAACTTAACAGAGGGAAATGCACTGAAGGCACCTTTGGATTTTATAAGCTGCAGGAAGAGAACATTAGGGGTATTAACTTGCTAATCAAAGCTCATGCTTCAAACAATGGCATACAATGTTTATAATAAATCTTTTCTGGTTTGTGTACAAATTGGTTGTGTTAGGGGAACTGCCTTACCTTAAGAGGCCAATCTAAGAAATGATCTCTGTACCTATGCTAGTTAGAAGAATCCGGTCAGTAGCCAAGGAAACAATGAGTCAGGGATAGAGGAAGGGGGCTTCACGAATCCTCAATGAAGAAAAATCTATAGTATTGACATGTACTTGTGAGCCCTTAAATCTCAGATGGCTGTTGTTGCCAGACAAACGCAGGAGGGGAACTGGGGCTGTCAGGGTGTAGATGGCTTAGTCTTAGAGAGAGCCCCAAGGGAAGTCCGAAAATAACTTCCTATTTATCATAAAAAAAGACAAAAACAAAAACTGTATGTGACAAGGTAGACAATAACACCTTGCAAATCTGATTAAAATATTATGAATATAAGTACGTAAAAAGCTTAGGAAACACAAAGGGCCTGAGTTACACATTAGTTTTGAGATTTCCAAAAATCCCAGTAAAATGTTCCAATTGTAGGTGTTTAAAGAAATGCTTACATAAGATACAAGTGCTACCCAGATAATACGAAACTGATCTTTTATCTCTACCTGCTATGATACTGAAGGGTACAACTACTACTAAACAAATGAAAAATAAACCACAAACATCCTGTTTTCCAAATGTTATAAGAAGAAAATAATTTCAAGGGCCCTCATATAGAATATATCCCGTTAATTAAGTGTTTAAATAGTAGGTAAATTTGAACCAAAGATTTTTTAAAGTCTGCTTTGCAAATAACAGTCAAGAAAGTCCTCAGGTCATCAAATTTTCATGTCAGCGTCCCCTCCTACATTTACCTTAAACAGCTTTACTTGCTGTTTGAGCAGAGGGCTACTTGCCACGTCAGAAAATGCTGTGCCTTCAACATTAGCTTTTACAAATTAAACTAAATAACTGAAACAGCATGGCTGCATGGTCAGAAGTAGAACATTATGTTGCCACCATAAAGTTCTCTACTCTTGTGCACTCTGGACTTATATTTACACCTGAGTGAATGAAATTGTGGAACAAGTGTGTTCCTTTTAAAAATCACATCTAAATTGACTATGATGGCAAAGCCTTAAAAGTGTTGCAAATTACTATGATTGGCTAGAGTATAGTTTTGTTTGCTTTATGAATAGAGACAGTCACACTTTTATTAAGCATCTCAGAAATCATGACCTTCTCATCAAATGCTTAGTTATCTCCATGGAGGCATGGAGAAAAGCAAGCACGGTAATAAAAACCTTACTTCTGTTACTGAACATTTCTCTTATTGGACTTTCAGGAAGAAATAATCAAAAATGACTTTTGAAATTATTCAAGGCTCATTTATTCACATAGTGTTTCTAGGACATCATATTTTCCATATTGCCATACAATTTATTTTTTAAGCAAAAATGTTAAAAATTCAAATTTTATGTCATCATACCACATAATTATTTCATTTTGTTTTGTGTATTTGCAGGGAGCTCAAATAGGAAAATCAAAGCCCCCAATTCAAACGCAACATCAAATTCAGTAAATGAAACCACCTATGAAGCTGATGATATAATTCAAGAAAAAACAATGGATACAACACAAATTAACACAGTATATTAAAAATCTGGTGTTGTAAAAGCTCCCTGGAGAGATGGAAAAACAAAAATAAAGATTGCATTTCAAATACAGTTCATAATAATAATTTTCAAAATTTTGCCACTCACAAAGCAAAACATAGCTGCATTTTTGATCATTCAATCCTTTTATTAAACACACAGTAAAGTTTTGATAGATTTTCATGTGCGTAAGTTTACTTTTATTTGCTAATTAAAATGTTTGCATATTACACAAAATTATGCTAATACTTCAGGCAAAATTAAAGAATTTATCAATAACACAGACAAGCAAACCTATCTCACTGAGGTATAATGAAAAATGTATTTCACTTTACCAGAATTTCACATTTTTTTGTACTTAGAGGCAGTTATTTTTATAAGAAATCAGAAATCAGCAGCAAAAAGAAAGTAAAGGAACCCACAAATACATGGAGCTTAAACAACACACTACTAAAAGATGACTGGGTCAAAGGATACATAAAAGGTGAGATTGAAATATGTGTAAAGACAAATGAGAATAACAATACAACATGTCAAAACTTCTGGGATACAGCAAAAGCAGTAACAAGAGGGAAGTTTATATCATTATAGGCCTATCTCAAGAAATAAGCAAAAATCCCAAGCAAACAACCTAACATTACATCTTAAAGAACTTGAAAACAAAGAACAAAGCAATCCAAAGTCAGCAGAAATAACAAAAATTAGAGCAGAATTGAATAAAATAGAGAACAAAAAGACTATTCAAAAAATTAATACAACGAAGAGCCTGGTTCTTTGAAAAGATTAATAAAATGGACAAACCTCTGACTAGACTCACTGAGAAAGAGAAAAGACTCATATAAACAAAATCAGAAATGAAAGAGAAGTCACCACAGACATCAGAAACACGCAAAGGAACCTATAAGAATACTATGAAAGACTGTATGCCACCAAATTCCATAACCTAGAAGAAACGGCTAAGTTCCTAGGAATGTATAAACTTCCTGGACTGAATCATGAAGAACTGGAAAATCTAAGTAGGCCAATCAACAGTAAAGAGATTGGAACAATCATCAAAAACCTCCCCCCAAATAAAAGTTCAGGACCAGATGGCTTCACTAGTGAATTCCACCAAACATTCCTAGAAGGCCCGATGCCTATCCTTCTCAAATTCTTCACCAAAAATTGAAGAAGTAATACTTCCTAACACATTTTATGAAGCCAACATAACCCTGATACCAAAGTCCGGCAAGGATAGCACACAAAAAAGAAAACTACAGACCAATATTTCTGATGAATACAGAAGCCAAAAATCCTAAACAAAATACTAGCAAATCAAATACAACAATACATTAAAAAAATAACACATCACAATCGAGTGGGGTTCATTCCAGGATGAAGAAGGATGGTTCAACTTATACAAACCAATCAATGTAATACACCACATTAACAAAACAGAAGATAAAAATCATATGACTTTATCAATAGATGCAGAAAAAGAATGTGATAAGTTACTAAGCTATGACATTCATTTATGATTAAAACACTCAACAAAATGGTAATACAAGGAAAATACCTCTACATAATGAAGGCCATATATCACAAACCTCTAGCTAATCTCAAACTCAGTGGTAAAAAACTGAAAGCTTTTCCTCTAAAATCAGGAATAAGACAAGGATGCTCACTCTCACCACTCTTATTCAACATAGCTCTGGAAGTCCTAGCTAGAGAAATCAGGCAAAAGAAAGAAATAAAAGGCATCCAAATCAGGAAGGAAGAAGTAAAAGTGTCACTTCTTGTAGATGACATTATTCTGTATATAGAAAACCCTACAGACTCTACTGAAATTCTATTAGAAACAAGAAACAATAAATACCAAAAAGTTGCATGCTACAAAATCAATGTACAAAAATCACTGTTTTCCTATATACTAACAATGAAACTCCAGAAAGAGAAATAAAAGAATTCCTTTTGTAATTGCAACAAAAAGAATAAAATACCTAGAAATAAACTTAACAAAGGATGTGAAGGACCTATATACTGAAAACTACAAAGCATTATTAAAAGACGTTGAAAAAGACACAACAAAATGGAAAGACAGTCCATGTTCATGGAAGAATCAACACTGTTTAAAAAGGATGTGAAGGACCTATATTCTGAAAACTATAAAGCATTATCAAAAAAAGATTGAAAGAATGGACGAGATATTCTGTGTTCATGGATTGGAAGAATCAACATAGTTAAAATGGCCATATTACCCAAAACAATATACAGATATAATACAATCCCCATCAAAATCTCAATGACATTCTTTAAAGAAATAGAAAAAACATCATCAGATTTGTATGGAGCCACAAAGGACCCCCCAGAGCCAAAATAATCCTGAAAATTTTAAAAAAAGAAGAAGAAAGCTGGAAGTATCACACTACCTGACTTCAAATACACTACAGGACTATGATAATCAAAACTGCATGGTATTAGCCAAAAAATCAGACACACAAACTGGAACAGCATTGAGGTCTCAGAAATAAAACCACATGTATATGGGCAAATAATTTTTGACAAAGGAGCCAAAACACATAATGGAGAAAAGAAAGCCTCTTCAATAAATGTTGCTGGGAAAATTGGAAAACCACATGCAAAAGAATAAAACTAGACTACAGTTTGTCCCTATGTGCAAAAATTAATTCAAAATGGATCAAAGACCTAATATAAGATCTGAAACAATGACTTACATAGAAGAAAACATAGGTACTAAACCTACAGACTTTGGTTGTAAAGAACATTTTATGAATTTGACCCCAAAGACAAGGGAAGTAAAGGCAAAAATAAATGAACAGGACTATATCAAACTAAAGCTTCTGCACAACAAAAGAAACTGGTAACAAAACAAAATAGAAACCAATGGAATAGGAGATGATATTGCAAATAACAGCACCCACGTATTTTGTATTAATATCCAAAATATGTAAAAGAGCTCACACAACTTAACAACAAACAAACAAACAAACAATCCAATAAAAAATGGGCAGAGGACTTGAAGAGACACCTCTCCCAAGAAGACATACAAATAACCAAGATATATGAAAAGATGCTCAACTTCACTAGCTGTTAGGGAAGTGCATGTCAAAACTACAATGAGATACCACTTCTTATCTGTTAGAATGGCTATTATCAACAAGACAAATAATAACAAGTGCTGGAGAGGATGTGAAGAAAAAGGAACTCTCATACACTGCTGGTGGGAATGTAGACTGTTCCAATCACTAGGGAAAACAGCCTGGCAGTTTCTCAAACAATTAAGAACAGAGTTACCATATGACTCAGCAATCCCTCTCCTGGGTATCTACCTGAAAACCTCGAAGGATTTTATTGCAGAGATACATGCATCTCTATGTTCACTGCAGCATTATTCATGGTGGCCAAGACATGGGGACAACCAAAGTGCCCTTCGACAGATGACTGGATAAAGATGTGGGGCATATATGCAACAGAATACTACTCAGCCATAAGAAAAGATGAAAACTGCCATTTGCGACAACATGGATGGACCCCGGGAATATCATGCTAAGTGAAACAGATTGGTCAGAAAAAGTTAAGAACCATAGGATTTCACTGATGTGGGATATAAAACTGAAACTCACAGACACAGACAACAGTATGATGGTTACCTGAGGGAAGAGGGTGGGTGAGTGGAGAGGGATAAAGGGGACCAAATATGTGGTGATAGAAGATGGTTTGACTTCAGGTGGAGGGCACACAATGGAATACACAGATCATGCATCACAGAAATGTACACTTGAAACCTCTGCGACCCTATTAACCAATGTCACCCCAGTTAAGTTTATTGGGTAAATGGGTAGATTTCCAGGAGAATGGTCTTACAAACTAGGTGCAATGATGGTCTTAAGTCTCTTAGAAATCAACCCATGCTTTTTTTAGAGGATTTGCTGGACACGCTAACATTATATTGCCTTTACAAAAGCTAATGTTCAATAACAAAATGTATTATAACATAATTTGCATAATACATATTTTCTGCATATCAAAGGGTAGCCATAATAAAAATTCTTCACTGATAAAGTTCCTAAGGAATTTCTACAATGAAATTTATAAAACAAACAAATTCTCTGGTCCCACCTAAGGCTGATGAAGTAATATCACTTAAAAATCTAGAAATAAAATGATAGTTTCTGCAAACTATAATTATCTTAAAAGATTTTTTAAAGTATAATTTGCACTTTAAGAATACATCTGGTTTTATAATAGAATGTAGTAGGAAAAAAGGATTAATTTTAAGCTGGCTCTGCTGAACACGTACATCCCTGTTACATAGTTTCTGTAGTTGGAAGACCAGTTTTTCAAATGTGGTGAATGTAGCTTCTCTGGTCTAACAGAGGAACAAAAGGAATGCTTTATAGTTCCCAGGCGTACAAAGCTCAGGGATAGAAACTTTTGATTATTAGGTGATCAAAACTTCTGCTGAGCACTGGGGATATCTTCTAAACGAGCACTGTGCAGTTGTAGTTTCTAAGACGGAGATGTTCTTCCTGTACGTGCACAGTCTGGCAGGGTTGCCACAACCCTCCCCCCCGCCCCCCACAATGCAGCTGTGTGAAATGGGCCAGAGCAACTGGATACATTTTTTTTTTCAGTTAATTTAGTTTAAATAGCCACATGGGGCTATGCTGACATCACAGTTCCAGATCATTATCAATGTTGTAACATTCTACTGCCTGTTACATTTCATATTCAAAAAGAGCACAATTTTGTCAATGTCCAAATATTAAAATTGCCTACAGTGCATGGGAAGTTTGGAAATTAAGACATTACCATTAAAAAATCACATTTTAAGTGGTCAGAAAAGCAAAGAATTTTCCTTTTGTTGTGAAGCATATGTAGCATTTGTGGTACTTCTTCATCTTGTAGTCAGCTTGATTAAAAAAAAAATCCCAGAAAATCTGCTATCTTTAATACCTAGATCTTAATCATTATATTACCCATTGGATGTCTCAGGTGAAAATCTAGGCTACGTTTAGTTGAGGCACTGGTACAGTTCTACTTTTGCTGCTCACGGGGAAGGGCACAGGTCACAAATGACACAAGAAGTAGGAAACTTAGACTGAAGTCCAGTGAAATGCTGATGATCTCAAGACTCCTAACCTGTGGAGCAGACAGAGAGCTGCACACGGCTGGATGCATCATGGGCGTGCTCTGGGAGATGCATCCCAATTCTCTGGCACTGCACAGTCTTAGAGCAGCTGGGAGAAGATAAATGAGGTCAGAGGACCCCGGGTTTCACAAGCGAGATTAGCATCGTGCTGGCCTGAGAAACCTCCTATTTGTGAATGCTGACTGCTCGAGAAGACTGAACCCCAGCACCAGTATCAGTTGGAGCTCTTGAAGCACTGCCTGTGAAGTGAGGTCACCTGAGAGCCACAGGGCTCACCCAGGGGACTGACAGGTACCTGTGTCTGTTACTTTGGAGCAGTTGTGCTTCATAGATTGAGACAAAATATTAAAAGCAAGAAGCCTTATCAAATTACAGCATAGTCTATACTCTGAAAGATGTATTTTAAATGATTTATTTGGACATAACAAATACTAACATAGTTAACAGAATTTGTCAGTAAAAAATAATCTAAAATAAAATGTAAAACAAAGCACATTTAAAAGTATGTACATATGCATGTAATTCTGGGGGTGGAGCTGATAAAGAATACAATAGTTTATATTTTTACGAGACAAAATCATTATAATTTTTGGTAATCAGATTTTAGAAAAGTGGGACTAGAAGAGTACAAATAATAGGGCAAAAAGATTCAAATTATTTTCTATGTGGCCATCTAACAAGAGCAATTTCATGTTCTAAAACTTGTAGATTTATGATATGAATTAAACCAAATCCCAATTAAGACATTTCTTTCCTTAAAACTCTCTCATGGTGTCTCACTGTTTACAAACTCCCTAACAGAGAAGCTAAGACCTCCTCCTTTTGTTCCTGAGAACCTAAAATGGGAGTCTCAAATCTTTTAATTCATTTTATTTTTTAATTTAATCTTTATTATACTCTTGTTTATTACCATTTAGTCCCCTTGTACCCCCTGCCCCAGCAATCACCACACCGTTGTCCATATCCATGAGTCCTTTTTCCATTTTGCTCAATCTCTCCCTGCCCTCACCTCCCCTAAATCTTATTGCTTGTTAATTCATGACACACACACCCTCCAGCTTCCATTGTGGTCTTTGTTCACAGGATACCCACTCTGTCAGAAACTGCCACAGCTGCCACCCTCACCCTCAACCAAAATGCACTTCAGCCCTGACGGGTATGGCTCATTGGGTTGGGTGTCGTCCTAAAAAGCAAAAGGTTGCAGGTTTGATAACCAGTCAGGGCGCATGCCTGGGTTGCGGGTTTGGTCCCAGGTCGGGGTGCGTCTGAGGGACAACCAATGTTTTTTTCTCACACTGATGTTTCTCACCATCTCTTTCTCCCTACCTGCCCCTCTCTAAAATAAATAAGTAAATTAAATCTCTTTTAAAAATGCACTTTAGGTACTACTTTCTTTAAGGAGCCTCTTCTAACTTCTCCAGTCTAAGTACAATACCCCCATGTGTTTCTATAAACCCATGTTCGGGTCAATTATTGCACTGTGATGTGTTCTGCTGTTTCTCCTTACAAGTAAGTGATGAACATCTTCAGGGGGAAAAATGAGTCTCTTTAACCTCTGTATCCCAGTACTTATCAGAGTGTTTGCCATGCTAGGCACTCAACATGAATGGCATTTTTATGAATGCTATTCATAACTTTTCAACCTAGTTTAATTGAAAAATGACACAGGGTTCTGTAATTTGAGAGTAGTAATTACAGACACACACAGTTGTTTACTACTTACTGATGGTTCGGCCTCAGAGAACCACAAACAGGTATGTATTAAGTGTGAAGCATGGGGATTCATCTAAGAAATTTTAGCTAACAGATGATAGGGACAAAATAGGGGCGTGTGTGGGGAGTAGGTCCATCACCCCGAAAGCAATTGCCTCAGAGTGTTCAGATAATGTGGTTACAGACAAGTTCAAAACAAGAATTCTGTCTGCATCTTGTGAAAATGACATGTTCGATAATAAGGATGTAAACCAAATATCGATTATCTGCTTACAGATGTTGAATGTGTTGAACAGTGGTATTAATACATACAACCTTTACTATTACAAACTGCTACTCCTTATCTGTGATAATTTCTAAAATGAATAATACTTGAATTTTACTAAAATATCAATACTCATATATACTAAGGACTGGAAGTGATCTTGGAGATAATTTGGTACAATATGTTATAGATGAAAAACACCAAGGCCCAGAGAAGTTAAATGACTTTGCTGGAGGTCACATAAGTAGTGAGAACAGCCAGGACTCTTTGGATTTTTACTATTAAATTGACTTTTCTTTCTGCTACCTACTGCAGGAGAGGAAATTTTACTAATTTTTCCAAAATATACTAGTAGGATTTGTATCCAAGCCCAATAATAATAATATCACTTTAGAAGAAGATGACTTGAGTAAAAATAAATTTATTTTATTCAAATGAGATATTTCATAAACTACTCTCATATGATAAAAATTTACTTAGCTTGGAATTATTCTTAATTCCAAGATTGTTTCTGGGGAGAAATAATTGTTGAGCATTAAAATCTTTTAATTTGCATTCAGCATAGTTAATTGGGGCTGGATTTTATGTGACTCTTCTGAACCATTATTCACCATGTCATCATTCAGAAAAAACTTAATGAGCCAAACTGTAATCTTGACAATTAACACAAACAAAACTTACAGATAACTAAATTAACCCTACTCACTAAACTCGTATTGAATCATGTTACACACTCAGTGGGTGGGATGAGGCCATCCTTTATACACAGCATTTTCCAATCATTTAAAAAGTTTACTTTACTAATTTTTTCATGTTGATAGCCAAAGAACTGTATTTTCAGAAAATTCAGATTTCAAAAATACATAAAATAAAGGCATGGCAAAATAAGCCCTTAAAAACCTAATAGCTCTGTGTTTCTCTCCAAACAGCTGACTATACCTAACTTAAAGAAGACAATTTCTTTTTGTGGCCCTATGACTAAATTAGGCCATGGAAAAGTTACTGGTGTGAGAGCTTCCATGGCTATGGTGCTATAGGCCAGGGATGTACAAGTGGCATCCCTAGAATTTGAGCATGGTAAGCATACGTTAAGTGGAGTTATGAGGCTCCCCCAGGGTTACTGAGGTCATGCCAGGGAGGGGTGTAGGGTGAAGAAAGAAAGAGTACACCTTTCCAGCCTGTGTGTACTTACCTGATTTCACCATAATGAATTCATCTGAATCCATGTGTGTAGGTTATCAATTTGAAAATTTGTAATTGCACCACAGTGAGGTACCTGCCATTTTTGGTGCTGTGCACTGATAATGGATTGACTTCTGATGCTGCTACCATAAAAAGTATTTAAGTTATTGGGTATGAGCAATACCCAAATATTAAGCAAAGTAACTAACACCCATCATTGTGGGTTTTAAAATGTAAAACACACTTATATCTACTAATATGTGTTTGCTAATTCTTACCCATATAAAATTTCTATTGTTATATAAAGACTTTCATGGTGCAACTCCCTGGCTCTTAAGTTTTAAAAAGTACAGAATAAAATTCTTAATCCTAAATTTTTGTCACTGCTCCTAAGGTTTATGACTGAAATAAAAGAGAGAAACACTCCAAACTGGTCATTTATGAAAGCATAAGTTCAGTGTGAAACCTGCTTCAAAACTACAAATTATTTCAGACAAATAAATATGTTCACATTTATAAAAAATTTCCATATTACTCATAGAAACAAGCTTCATAAAATTTATATACTGAATACAACAAAAGTCAGTTCTAATGAAGATTTAGCTGTCACCTTTCTCAATAAAAAGTTCTGTGTCTGAGGTATCACTTTGAGACATGCCAATATGGCACATTTGTAAAACAATCCAGGAGTCTATCCTAAAAATCCTGCCAACACAACATTATCTCATTGAGACTCACTAATAGGCTGAACTAGATTTGTCTTTTTAAACAGGAAGAAATATTTTAATAGTTACAGAAACAAAGAAGGCAGGTACTAGCTGCATGTCATAAAACAATGAAACTCTTATATTTTCATTATCCTCTTCCTGTTGATACCATTCATTTAAAAAGTCCTTGTCAAAATCAAAAAATCAGCTTCATCTTCTATAACATTAAAAAAGCCAGAGATTAAAAAACAAGTGAAGAATATTACTGTCTTACATTATCATAGGATATAAAAATCTATTAAGTTTATCAGTGTCAAGAGCGAAGCATTCTCCTCTACCTCGCTGTATCACTGGAAGGTAGACACTTGATTCAGAAATACTCACTGACAGCCAGGTAGATTACCTGTGTTGACTGTAGTAAAGCCATTTACAATCAACTTATGAAGTAAAAAACACTAGCCAAACATAGAGACACAAATACCAAAAATGATGTTTTGTATCTATAGATAACCGTACTTGTGGCATGGCTATCAAGTAGTAAGACTAATTCAATACTTTATAATCACAGTACATTGAAAATATATTGCCAGAGGATAATTGTCCTATATATGAAAAAAAATGTTTATCTGCACAAGCCTGTGATTTATTGCAAAGCAAAATTATATAGCAAATTCCAAGAAAGGTGAAATGATTTTCAAAACCAATGTTTAAATGTAATGGCTTGAGCCACAGTCTCAGTCACTTTCTGGAGATTTCAGAAGCAGTAGGGGTAGAAGAATGCTTTTCCTTTTTTCTCTTCTTTTTTTCCTTTTTGTGATGTTTCCCCTTTTTGGACTTATTCTTTTTTTCTTTTTTCTTTTCTTTCTTCTGATATTTTTGTTTCTTTTGTTTTGAAGTGTCCTCTTCAGCAGAACTCGATGAATAAGACCTATGGGCAGTAATATATACTGACTGATAATTGCATTTATAGCTGATAGGTAAATTTAAATGGATGTGATCTGCCTTAAATCCTTCTTAGAGCAAGGTTGGGGTATAAACAAAGAAACGCAAAATGCGCTTTGTATACCTGTATTCTCTTAAAATGCTGAATTTAGAATTTTTTGCTACTTGGTCACAGAAACTGACAAAACAAGTATCTCTATTCTGCTCAACTTTAGCTGTATAAGTTATACAGTTATAGTTATAGAATTTTTAATTTTGGTAAGACTTAAAATTATTTTTCTGATTTTCAGGTTTTCATCCTTCGTACCCTTCAAAACCTTGTTAAGCAAACAACATTGCATTTACCAAGCCTCATTATATATACGATTCACTTGTGTATGCAGTGACTTGTCAGCATATTCCAGAGATGTCAACCTTTTTCATCTCATGGAACACATAAACTAGTTACTAAAATTGTGTGGCACACCAAAATATGTATTTTTGCTGTTCTGACAAAAATAGGTATTATTTTGATTTGTTCATACTGGACAGCTATTGTGTTGGCTGTTGTCATTTTTTCTGACAATTTGAGGGAAAAGAGGTCCGTGCCCCTGACTGAACAGTCAGGTATTACATGTTGTAAAAATTCTGTGGCACACTGATTGAAAATCACTGGCATATTCTCTTAAAAGAGTCACAAAAGGATGCAATTATACATATAAAAAGGGTTATAATTATGTACCTCTGTATAAATAAAAGCTGAAAATTAGTAAAATAAAAGCACTTTCGTTAATTATTTTGATTTTTAAGTTAAAGTACTTGAGTCCTCCTGATGCTGAGTGATACAGATGAACACTTTCATTTCAAAATAATTTTCACTAGTTGCAGAAAAGATACTTTTAAATGAATCTTCTATATAGATGAATGAGGATGATTTATCATTAAACTTTTTAAATATTACTGTAATACTAAATTAAGAACGAAAAACTGTAGAAGTCCTTCCTCTAATATTAAAAAAAAAAGAAAAAACAAAACAAAAAAAAGCCATCTCTTCAGACTTCATATGAAGTGTGTAACAACCTACCCACATGCAAACCCCAAATACGTATTACAAGAGAGAAACCGAGTGAGTTTAAAATGAAATAGGCATCTCAACAGCTAGTTCAGTGATCTAAATGTCAGAAGTTAAAACCCAAACTAAAAAAAATCCGACGTAGACACAAAGAGGAGAAAAAGCAAACTCTCGAGCCTGCAGGTTTGTGACAGGGGTGGACTCCTCCAGCGCTGCCTTCCTTACTCAGGGGCTCCCGGGGGTCCCCATCTCTGTGAGGCTGCATTCCCTTCTCCTTCTCCTAAGACTTTTGGCCATTTCAGAAGCTTATTTTCAATGTAGTCTCTTTCTCTACTTTGTCTCTATTATTCTCAACTCTTCTGTGTTTTCCTGTTTTAAAGACCTTGTATGACCTTTGGATTCTAACTAAAGCTGCTTTTCTGCCTACACAACTTTTTTCCTTTCGATTTTTGGTTCTGGATTCTCATTTTTAAGGCAAAACATTAGACTTCGGTACAGTAACTCTATTAGGTGGTATTACCTGTGTTAAGTGTACCTGGAAAAGTTCATATAATTTCGAGCTGTCTGAAGTTTGTAGGCCCAAGATAGAAAGGCTAGAATAAGCAATCTGTTACTATAAAATAAGTATATTAGATTTGAAAGAAAAGAGATAATCTAACTTTCCCTATAAGCAATCCACCTTGTGGTGGGAATGCCAATAATTCAACAATATACTAGTCAGACTACACAATACACTGAGTCTACCTTCCTATTAGCTTTTATATTAAAGATTATTATTTAACTCCTAGAACTTGAAAGCAAGCTAACTTGTAATTTATAAAATAGCTGAGGTGTTAAAATGTATATATTAAATGTTCCATAAAAACTACAAAGTGACAGCACCTGATTTGCAGAATCTACTGCCAAAGCCAAACTGGTATTGCCAAATGTGATAAATAATGTCTCTATGTAAGAGACATTACTCTTACTCTAGAGTATGAGTAATACTTTCATACTCTAGTATGAGTGAAATGCTCTAGTATGAATGAAACTACACTCATTAACCATGCAAAAAGTTGCTCATTAATTCTCTTGCTCTATTTCTTTAACCAGTTAAATTAAAAGAGTTGATAACAAAAATTTGCAGGTAGCTGATCAAGATTTTGAATGACCTGAAGGAATTTTTAGCGTGACATGTGAGTGAGTACATAAATCCTATTAACAATTAATTTTTTAGACAAGGCAATAATATTTTGCAAATACAAATATTTAAGCTCCAACTTCATACAGATGAAGACAAATATGTATGTGAAGAATTTAGACATATATTCCATTAAAAAATTAACTGATGTTTTGAAACTTAAAATTCTAAATATATAAAAGGCAGGGGTGTTATTTATTTATTTTTGATTTGCTCCAAAAAGAAAATTTAAGGTGGCTAAATGTTGATTTTATTTTTAATTCCTGAAATGAAGGATTTCTGTTATTTTACTGAAACAATTGAGCATCTAACTCCGACTGAGAAAAAAAGTGCTAAACTGTACTACACCAGGAAACAACATAATCCATTCTAGAGTCACAGTCCTGATTTTTTAAAAATTATGTTTAAAAGAATACCTTTTCCTTTTTTTTTTCAACTTGATTTTCTCTTTGCTTTTTTCTTTTTTCTTCTCCTCTTCTTCATTGATTCCTGTGTTGATGGGAAAGAATCAGGTCACCATGGGTCTATGTACTGATATGTATACATTTTTTATTTTGGTTGATGATTTTCACTAGTTAGGATATTGCACATTCCTTGTAACCATTTCCCGTTTCCTGATTTTTTAAAAAATGAAGTATAACTGACATATAACATGATAATAGTTTTAGGTGTACAAGATACTGATTCAATATTTGAAAATATTGCAAAATGATCAGTACAATAAATCTAGTTCACATCTGTCACTATAAATACTTACAAATATAGTTTTTCTTTTGGTAAAAACATTTAAGATCTACCTTGTCAGCTTTCAAATATACAATACAGTAATATTAACTATAATTACCAAGTTGCATATTACATTGCCATTACTTATTTACTTTATAATGGAGAGTTTGTACCTTTTGATCCCTTCACCCATTCTACCTCCACCCCTAACCCTGCCTCCGGCAACCACCGATCTGTGCTCAGTATCTATGAGCTTAGTTGGCACTTTGCTTTTTTCCCTTCAATCACACATACGAGTGACATCATATGGTATCTGTATTTTTCTGACTTATTTCACTTAGCATAATGCCTTCAAGGTCCATTGCTTTTTATCATATGCTTTTTATAAAGATTTCAAATACTAATAAGTGCATTGAGTAAAAAATTCTAGTACTTTAATGTTCATTCCTATAGCAAATCAATTTATGGTGGGTACCATTCCAAGCATTAAAAAAAACCCCATACAATCAAGTACAGTTTTTTAATTTTCTTTTTCACACAAAATTGGTGTCATGGGACCCTAGGATAAGAATTCTAGGGTCACAGGACAATAACAACAGACAATATTTATGTGGTTGGTGTCCTGGAAGGAGAGGGTACGCACTGTTCTCTAACCTATTTTTTTTTTTTGCACACAATCTGGTGTGCATTCTTCTAGGCTTTCTCTCTATATAGCCAAATGCGCACATGCAATCCCTTACACAGACTTTGCTACATAAAGTCCTACATTTTTTTCTCTTTTGTCTACAGCCATACCATCCTTAACATGCCCGATCTCGTCAGTTTTTTTTTAAATAAACATCCTTTATAGGTTGATGAAACTCCTTAGTTTGCTAACAATTTCTATCAGAACTGGAAAACGGACTTCCTAAAATAATTTGTGAAAATACTGTAATTATCATATAAGGGTTGTTAGTCTGTTAAAAATGGAGAATTACATTGACAGATTTTTTAATGTGAAATAAAATCTCCTATTCCTGGGATACACTATACTTGGTCAAAATATAGTATCATTTTGAAATATCATTGGATTTGATTTGCTAAAATAATTTTAAGTGCTTAAAATTCTCTTTGTATCTATATTTATGGGAGTCTAGTTTTCTCGTAGATAAAATATGGTTTTATCAGGGTACTGCTGGTCTTAAAAATTGAGTTGAAAACTATTCCATCCTATTTAATTTGGAAAAGATTTTATGTAGAAATGGTATTATTTCTCCTTTAAATATTTGGTAAAATTCATGAAAGAAGCCAAGCTATGGACATTCCTAAACTGAACATTTAACTTCTTCATTAAATGCAAGCCATTTAGTTTATTTCTTTTTGAAAGGTTTGGTACTTTGTATCTTTCACATGTCCCTTTTATCTAAGTTGCTGAATTTACTGGCACTAGGTTGTTTATAACATTCCCTTATTTTAGTATCTGTATAATCTGTAGTATTGTCACTTCTTTAATTTCTGATATTGATCATTAATGACTTTTTAAAATCTGATGTTTGAATCACAAATTTGAATAACTAGAATCATTAAAATTTCTTGAGACTTGAATTACAGCACAGAATTAGGTCCATCTTGGTAGATGTTCTGTATGCACTTGAAAAAAAACATATATTTTGTTGTTTGGTAAGGTGTTCTATAAATGCTAAATATGTCAAATTGGTTGACAATGTTATTCAAGTGTTCTATATCTTTTCTGATATAATGTCTATTTGTTCTATCAATTATTGAGAGAGGTGTGTTGAAACTTCCAACTATAATTGTAGATTTGTGTATCCACAAAAATTTTCCCGGGTAGTTCTATCAGGGGTTTGCTTCATAAATTTTGAATTTTGTTTTTAGATGTGTAAACACTTAGTATTTATATGTCCTCTTGATTAACTGACACTTTTATCTTTATGAAAAAAACCCTCTTTATCCGTAGCAATATTCTTTGTACTTGATCTGACATTAAAATAGTTACTTTAGCCCTGGCAGGTGTGGCTCAGTGGATTGAGGATCGGACTGCAAAGCAAAGGGTCACAGGTTTGATTCCAGTCAGGGCACAAGCCTGGGTTGTGGGCCAGGTTCTCAGTAGGAGGTGTATAAGAGGCAACCACACACTGATGTTTCCTTCTCTTTATCCTCCCTTCCCTACTCTCTAAAAATAAAGAAATAAAATCTTTAAAATATTTACTTTAGCTGTTTCTTGAGTAGCTGTCTTTTTTTTTGGTAGCTATAATAAATTCAGAATGACTAATTGTAAACATGTTAAAAAATAAAAGGTTATGAGAAACTAAGCAAATAAAACAGTAGCTACGGGAATCATTTCCTTGTCCACTTAGGAATGATGAATAAGAAGTACATAGATAAGATTACACAGAGATGAGTAATCAAGAAAACAAACAAGAAAGCAAAATATAACCAGAGACATTGAAATTAAGAACAAACTGACAATAATTAGAGGGGAGGGAGGAGGGGACAAAGGGGGAAAAGGTGGAAGGGTTTTCAGGAACAGGTATAAAGGTTACATGGACAAAACCAAAGAGGGCAGGATCAAGGGTGGGAAGTGGGGATGGCTGGGGTTGAGGGGAGTGGTGGGGGGAAAATGCAGACAACTGTATTTGAATAACAATAAAAATGTGGGGAGAAAAGATTACATAGAGAAATTAGTTCTAATAAAAACAAAATAATCCTAGAATTGAAGAAATACTTATTCTGAGCCATACACCCTTAGGAACCAGCAGTATTGACAACAGGATATGAGAATGCAAGCATTGAAGACAAAAGTTTGTTTTAGAAAGTTCAGTGCTTCTACACTACCACTCTGAAAATTACTCCACCTCCGTTCTTCAAGGTTCTTTCTGAGACAGGATGTTAAAATGTACACGGGCATAGCAGGAAAAAGAACACGAGTTTTTGCAAAACGATTTCTTGGAAAATGATACAACCAGCCTTATGAGTACAAAATAGAAGGCAAGAGGATTCCATGTACTTAAGCTTTAAATTTTGTAATGACCAGCAAGAGTGGCGGTCTCTTATGTAACACACAGGAGCTGCAGGTTAGGACCAGTGCTTACGTAGAGATTTGGGATAGAATGGAAGATCCATCCTAGCAGTACAAGCAGGCTCAGCTACTGTATCTTCGTTTGCGAATCTGTCACCAGGCTTGTAGCTACTCCAGCTACTTTTAAATAGCTGTGCAGGCAGTTTCAAACCCAGATCCATTAATCTAAATTTCTTATTCCCTTTTGTATCTTCCAACTACTTAGCAAATAGCTGTCTTTAAAAAAGTACATTTTAGACCCTGGCTGGTGTAGCTCAGTGGATTGAGCTCGGGCTGTGAACCAAAGTGTCGCAGGTTCGATTCCCAGTCAGGGTACATGCCTGGGTTGCAGGCCATGACCCCCAGCAACCGCACATTGATGTGTCTCTCTCTTTCTCTCTCCCTTCCCTCTCTTAAAAAAAAAAAAAGTACATTTTGAGCCATAGATAGGCTTTACTCCAATCATTGTGTGAATTCATTTAAGCCCTATCTCCATGAAGCCTGAGACCACCATTGTAAGTCCTTCATTTGAATTTGATTCCAGCAGTTACTAAAGGGAAGGAGAAAGACAATTATGGCAACATGAAAATACCTGATTTTGGTATTTTCTCCTACGCAATTTTCTGTGTCAACAATCTTTAATAACATCAAGTATAAATTTAGCATAAAATTCTCTTAAACAAACCAAACAAGCCAAGAAAACCAAACTAGACCAAAAAAATCCCATGTCGTCAAAATACATTTCTTTTCCAGACTAAACAAAAAGAATACTGTAAAATATTAAGGGATGAAATATGAGGAGAGGACTATCTCCTAATGCCAGGCAAACTGCTGATTACTTTAAAAACCCATACTATTGAATTTCTTGGCTTCTTTGTAAATACTGAAATTTATGCATATTGCAGCATAAATGGGTCTTCAGATATTTGCTACTACCATGTACAATTCCAAAGTTTCTTCAGGAAGTTCAAAACACAGCATGAAACCCTAAGGAGCTTCCTGAAGAACTGCGTGCACAGCAGAGAGTGAGAGGACTCAGGACCCTTGCCGTGCACTGACTGACAGCTCCCTGTCCGCAGCCCGTGATGGCGCGTTCTCAGGAGGCGTGGGCCCAGGTCGTCCGAGTGTAATAAGGCAACAATACTTGTTCCCGTCCATGTCGAGTCCTGCTCTCCTATGCTCTAATTTTCACAAAAAATTGATGTTCGTGAGGTAGACTTTTGTATGTTTTAAATGAAAGATACTATTAAATGCATTGGAAAGTAAGCAATGTAATAGAAGCAAACAAATACATACAGGGGCAAAACAGAAAATAGAACTTACACAAAAATAAGTTTTGAGTCTTGTTTTTGTGGTGACATTTCCCTCCTTTCCTTTTCATGGCTCTATTTCATAACAGGAGAACAACTATTTACATAATTATGCTAAGAATTCTTTGCTTTCTCCTTGTGCTTTTTAATTTTGTCATTAAAACAAACAAAAAACTTTAACCGTATTCAAGATAGTTTTTACAAGAGTTTTCTACCTCTGAGGACCAACGGAAGGAGTCAAAAAACTCCCAGGACGATCTGAAAGATACGGGAGAACTTACACGCAACAAGTCAGTGTTTTACCCCTTCAGAGACCTGAGCAATATCAGAAAGTTATCAATGGAGTGAAGAATAGAACCTTTACATTTTCTTCCTCCAACTACTCAGAAGCCAATCTATTTGTTTATTTGGGTAGGGGTGGGTCACGGGGCTTGCATTAGGTGACTGTGAAAGAAAGCAGCATCCCTCTTGTGAAACTTTATTACTAGAATCTGCATGATATACTGAAATGAGCACTGTTCTGGGTCAGAGTCATAAGACTTGGAAACAAGTTCTGAACCTTTAATTGACTATGCACAAGTATATACTTTTAAGAAGAAAAAAAAGTTAGATGGAGTCTGTCATTCTCAACTCGAGGTTAGAAGAAAACTGTTTCTAATAAAAAAGGTTTACCAACTACTTATCCTGGAGTTTCTATGTTAATCCCTTCCCCTTCCTCCCAGGGTGAGTTTGTCCCAGGTCTTCTGACTGAAAAATCCCCTCTAGAATAGACCACTCCACTACTCAGGATGGGAGTGTACTTTATCCTTCCACATTGCTATGATGAGGAAAATACAAAGGTAAGAAGAGACAGATGGACGATCTTGAACGGCAGAGAGCTGCATGTTGTAACGAAAACAGCAGAGGACTAGCAGTCAGGAAACCTGGATCTTGGTACTGATTTGGACAGGTTACCTGTCTTCCTTTTCTTTTTTTATAAAACTAGGTGTTTAAACTATGTGTTCTCTAAGATCCTTCCTAATTCTAAAATTTCACGCATTAATTTTTTGAAACCAGGACAATATAGACGGATGGGACAGAAGCTGCCCTTGTGGAAGGGACATGCTTGGGCTTTCTCTCCTAGGAACGTCTGTCCTGTCCATGCGGTTTGGCTGCTCGCCTTACCAGCCCGGGACCTCCCTTTGCCAGCACCCTGGGCATTCGTTCCCTTCTTACCACTTTCATTCCCTACAGCCCATGACTTCCTTTTTGGGTCTACTCCCTGATTTCCGTAGGAAACCTCTGGAATAAGGGTATGGGAGAGGTAAATTTTTCGAAACTTGGATAATTTGGTTGGGTGTATCATTCTAACTCGGCTACAAATTTCCTTCAAAAATTTGAAAGCATTATTCACACCTACTAGCTTACAAGGATGGCTTTAGAGAATACAAAGCTATTCCGGCTCCTGACTTTACCTATGGCCTGTCTTAACCTTGGTTCTGGAAAGTTTGAATTATATTCTCCTTGTTTACTGGGGTATGAGGTTTCATATTCTGTGCCTTTGTGTGGGCCTATTTTTAATGCTGTGCTTGGTATTTACTGAATCTTTTCATCTGGAAACTAATGTCCTTTAGTTCTTGGAAATATTTTCTGTTTTCTCTTTTTGTGACTCATTTGAATGAATTCTTTCCTAGACTGATCCTTCAATTGTCTTATCATTTTTCTCCCATTTTGCTAAGATTTTTTCATCTTTATCACATTTTATGTGTTTCTTTTTAATTTCTAAAAGTTCTTTTGAGTTTTGTTCTTTTTATAGTACCTTAATCATGTTTCATGGATGCTGTACCTTATTCCTCCATAAAACTGGATATTAATTACTTCTCTTAGGTTTTCCTATCCCTTCACCGACTATATTCTTCAAGCTAATTTTTTTAGTTTTTTGGATTTGGTATTTGTATTTCAGGCTAGAGTCTTTCCCCAGAAATTCAGTGCTCCTCGATTGTTGGAAAAGATGACTGGAAGCTTTCGGCAAGCAAAGGCTGGAAATCTGGACTTCACTAGTAATTTGGCTAGGCCATGTTCTTGAAGAACCTCGATGTCAGATTCTTTATTACCTTCTTCTTAGATGAGTCAGAGTCCCCAGAGGTGAAAATTTCAAATCTTATGCCTAGGTGATATGTGTCTGGGAACCAAACAGTTGAAGACTGCTAAAAGGTTCTCACCATTCTGTATGCACCCCTAACTTACTGCTCTCACCCGTGTTTGGTGCGTCCCCGTTTAAGGAAAACTGATGGATAGTAGTCAGCTCAGGTGATTGGGGGAAGCCACCTGGCTTCAGAGTAGGAGGAAGGAACTGAGCATGTATCTACTTCAGATTTTTTAACCAATCCCTCTGTTTTTAGTTTTTCATGATTCCTCAGTTACAAAGGTATCTAAGGATACTCATTATCAAGGAGTATCCTTAGGAGGTTTCAAAGTGCCTATCAGTTAACTGCTCAGATTTCTTCATTGTTTCACTGTGAAAGAATGTATCTTTCTCAAGTATGCAGTCTGTTATCACTTAAACGCCTGCATTCCAGCGAAACTTCATCACTATTGCTTCCTACCCCATTTTCTTTGCCCTTGTCAGTTTATGTCTTTAAAAAAAATCTTCTACTATCATTTCAGGGATGTTTCAGCAGGGAGCAAAGGTGAGGGTGTGTATTCAAGCACCTGTCTTCACCCTGCAGCCGTGCACACACGTGCAGGGGGCCTGTGTTTGTCCTCTTCTGCGCTCTCACTCTCCCAGTGTCCTGGCATCCGCCCTCTTCACTTCCTTTCACCAAACAGAACATGGAAAGTGTAAACATTTCTAAAGTGTTTATTGTTACTTGATGACCTAAATGAGTTTACAATTCTTGTATTTCTCTCATCCCATGCCTAAACTCATATTCAAATAAAGTGTATTTTGCTTTTGTGTGACACCTGCCACATGGCATTTTGTAGTTTACAAAGTATTTTCACAGACAACTGCACATTTAGTCCCTAAAACCCCACACAAAGACAGGCCATTTCATACAGAAGATGGGAAAGAAACAGTTAAACAGGTCTGTAACCTCTCTTCTCTTTGAGGGGCTTGGGGAGGAAGAGGAAGAGGCCCCCAGGAAAGAAATTTCTTTATACAAGTGTTAATCACAGACCTCCTGGAAACAAATGCATGGTATCTGCTAGCTAAAGAAGACTTTGGGGGAGGGAAGAGGGGAGTGAACTTTATTTTCTCACAGTTCTGAAAGCTACAAGTCCGTGATCAAGCTGTTGGCCAGGGAATCCTTATTTACAGACTGCTTATAGTAGAAGGTATCTAGTTTGTCCAAAATTCCTTATGGTTAACAATCCTGGAATCGACAGATTTATGGGGCATGGCTCCCTGGAAAATGTAATTATCCAGACAAAATTGAGCTCTTTCATGATTAAAGTGACTTTCTTTTGTGTAAGTACTATAGAAACTTCTTAAGTTAACTCTGGCTACAGGGGGTTCCGAAGTAGGAAGAAAACACCTGGGGAGCTGTACTGGCCATCCCAGAACTCTGCTGCTTTGCCTATGCTTTGTGGTCATTTATATATTTACATTCTTAGTAAAGCTGGATACCGGCTGAGGTCCCTGGTTTGAATCAGTGTGATTAACCGCCCAGTCTTCTGTGTTATTCCACAAGGAAATTGGGGTTCCAAGTGGTAAAGTGACTTGCTGAAAGTCACATGCTAAAAAAACAGCCAAATAGGGCTAGAAACCAAGCTTTAAATCAGACTTTTGTCCCATGGGTCATGCCATAGCGTGATGGAACAACAAAACATGGGTTCTGGAATAAAAACAGACTTGCCTCTGGTCCTGTAACTGACCAGCTGTTTGATTTTGGGCAATTGACTTACAATGTTCAAAGTCTATGTCCTTGCCTCTGCACGAGTTCTTACATAAAACAGAAGAGATGTCTTAATAATGAATACAACAGAAAAAAAAATATGAACATGACATAACAGAGCAGAACATTTAGAAACATTTTGAGAGGATGAAGAGGAAAAAAGCAGTGCTTACTTTTTTCTTGTAATGCCTGCAACTTATTCAGTTCCTCATTCTCTTCATCACTCTCCTCACTGCTTGTACTGCTGACATCCAAAACTATGTCCCTTTTGGGATCTACTCGGAGAAAGTTGCGGCATTCAAAAGTCAGGTGACCAGCTAAGTGAAACCAAAAAATATGAAGGACAAAATGATAGATACATTATATAAATGTTTTATTGCCTCATGGCAAGCAACAAGTTACAATTTTAATAATATAATATAATGTTTAGTTTCAACTTTTAATCAGTGTGTGGTAGTTCACTTCCCCTGACTATAATGCTCAGAGAGAACTTCTTCCTTTTTTCATCGGGACTTCTAATTTAATAAGCATTTTTTTCTGTGTACTGAATCACTGTATTTCCCCTTTTTATGTAATGTATTTTCTCTTTTATGTACTAAAGAAAATATTCTCATATTTAGATTTTATATTGAATTCCTTTCACATACTCTTTTCTTTTCATCTTTACTACTACCCTCATGTAACTGCATAGCTGTCACATATTTAAAGGCACCATAATAACATAACTAAATGTGGTCTCCTAAAACATACCTGAACGTGTACTTCTGACTTCATTCACCCCCTTAAGATTCCTTCTCTAACTACAACAGTTGTCTACTTAGAGCATGATGCCATTTTTTTAAAAAATCAAGTATTACACAAACACCAGAAAAGTACAGGAAATAACATAATCAATACCCAAGTGCCTGGCGCCCGCCCGTTACTATTTTGTCGTGTTCACCTACAGTTTTTGTAAGGGAAATGCTTGCCTGCCTGTGCACACGAAGCTGGAGAGCTCGTCCCATCCTTTGGAACTCTGCCTCCACCCCATGCCGTCCTCTGTCTGCAGTAGTTGCTGTACAGAAGCCGGTGTCTCTCTTTACCAAACACCATGTTATACTGTTATTTTCTAAAACATAAACTCAATTTTGCTTACCTCTCACTCTGCAACTTGTTTCTGCCAATGAATATTGTGTGATTTATCTGTGTTAATGGTAGATGACATTATCTCATTTTACCTCATGAGTAATGTTTCCTTGCATAAAAATATTTATTTACCCTTTCTACTACTGACAGAGTGTCAGGCTGCTTCCAGCCCGTTGCTATTCTAAATAATGCTGGCATGCGCAGCAGTTCATGGCTCTCTGTGCACATACAGCACGGTTCCTCCAAAGCAGCAGCTTTCAATTTTCTTTTTTTTACTATGGCTGAATGATGGTAAAAAAATTACAATGCAACCAAATACATTCACATACACATTCATATACAGATGTACACTACCACAAAACAATCCAAACAAAAGTTACATGGAGCATTACTATATTTGATATTCAGAAAAACCAATGCTGACAGTAACCACATAATTGATTTCACAGCCCACAGATGGCAGATGATTCACCACACATCTGTGCTAAGGTTCATTTCTAGTTCTCCCTTAACTTGAGGATGAAGTCCTTTGGAAAAGTTCTAGATTTACACAGGAGCATCTCCTATGAGAGTCCCAACACCGGGCACGGCCCTGGGCCTCGTTTTTTATCCCCTGCATCCTGTCACTTCATGAAAACAGAAGTTCAAGAGCCCTGGGTTCAGCAGATACCCTCTAGACCTACCTCTCACGATTTCTGCTTTCCTTTGTTGTTGCCCCCTGAGTATTCTTTATTTTCTTCCTAGCACGCTATTACACCTACAACAGGTACAGCACACTTCATCCAAGTCTCAGTGGTCTACAGGGGGGAGCAATCTGCCGTGCTGCTGGAACAAGTTTCTTCTGTTGTGCCTTTCTTCCAAATGAATCACTCGGAAGTGCTCTTTTTAGATTCCAAACATAGGAAGTTTTCAGCTATGCTTTGGCTGATTTCTAAATTTATTACACTGTTGTCAGAAAATGGGGTTGGTGTGGCATAAGTTCATTGGTATATGCTGACACTTATTTTGTGGTCCACCACATAGTACATTTAGGAAGAGATTCCATATGTATTTTAAAAGAATATATATCACTATCTGTTGAATAGGGTTCTATGTTTTTTTTGTTCTTCGAATCTTCTCCATTTTACTTTTTTGTGTAATAACTTCTGACAGTGAAATTTTAACTACCTCTATCATAGATTTGTCCGTTTCTCCTTGGAACAGTTTCTGCTATACATATTTTGAGATTATAAGTAAGCCCATTCAAGATCATTAATTTATCTTCTTGGTTGATTGTTCTTGAATCTCTATCTTTCGTACTGCTCTTGCCTCAAAGGTCTGATATTAAAATTGTTTTATTAGTGTTTTTTTGTTATTATTAGTTGCATCATATGAAGTTATAATTTTTAAGAGTAAAACAGCTGAATATCAACAATTTCAGCCTAATATCTACCTGTTCTTTTCCTCCATCCCTTTATATGAGAATTTCTATGTAGTTTTTAGTTTTTGGTAGTTTTGGTAGTTTTATTAATGATGACATGTAGCTGGACTTAAGTTTCTTAATTAATATAACACCAGACCAATTTTTAATGTTAATTTCCTAGCTTGGAAAAATAGTCTCTGCCTCACTGGGTGGTACCCTCATAAATGGGATTAATGCCTTATAAAAGAGACTTCCCCCATGTGAGGATTGGACAAAAAGTCTGTGATCTGGAAGAGGGCCCTCACAGGACCATGGTGGTACCCAATCTCGGACCTTTAGCCTTGGCTCCGTGAGCAAGACTTGTCTGTTTTTTAGAAGCTACCCAGCCGCTGGTATTCATTAGAGCAGCCCCCATGGACTAAGACAGGAGTGGGCTTTTCTCTTGCAATTTCTTGAAAACAAAGACATCCACTCCTCTCCACTTCTTTTTTTCTGTTTCTCACCTCTCGGGTCTGAATCTACAGAGTTTGTTTCATGACCCACAACTCTGCTTACACTAATCTTACCAAGGTCAGTGAGCATCCTGCCTGGCAAATCCAATGAACATTTCTCAGTCCGTTTCTTATAAATCTTATCTGTCACGATGGACAATGCCCCTCAATGTAAAAACAGAAACAAAAAAACTTTACTTCTTTGGCTTCTGTGATGCTGCCCACTCCTGCTCCCCCTGGCACTGGATTTTCTCCGTCACTGTCCCTCAGCTCATGCCTGTGTATTTCACTCCATGCACTGGTACTGTATAGAGAGTCGGTTATTCGTTGTTCCAAAATGTGCTTATGTAACAACATGTAGGCCAAAAAATGTGAGTATGGAAAAAAATGAATGGTTATTTCTATGAAGTAAAGCTGTACTTTTGGAAAGACTTGAAGTAAATTAATTGTTTTAAAAACCAGTTTTCAAAATAGACACTGGCAAGAAGATTGTAAAAGATGGGGGCGGGGAATCTAGGACAATGAGAAAATATTGCTGTTTCTTGAAGGAGAAGCCATGGTTTTCTGGGACAGACAATTCTCCATTGTCCAGGAATGTCCTAACACTGTAAAAGATTTCTAATCCCTGGACCCTACATGCTAAATGTCATACTGCTCCCCACCCCTATGGACAACTTTTAAAAACCATGCAGAGATTTCCAGATGGCAGTATCACCCCTAATTGAGAACTAATGATAGTAAAACTTTGCACTCAAATTTCTTTGTATCTTAACTGCTTCCCTATCTTTGAAGAAACAAGCTATAAAAGTGGAAAAGGCATTTCAGATATGATTTTCACTCAAAAGACTACGTGTAACGCCAATTAGCAGACCTACAGGCAAAGAAAAGGTCATGACTATGTATCAGTAGATTTGAATTTTAAATTAAATGAAATGTTAAGGGTATTTAAGCATGTTTTTACGTCCTGTTTCTGTGATCAAATGCTCAACTATAGTCTACTGTACTGAACTTTGAAACATATTTTCTGAGAACTACCATCATTTGAGACGTGTTCCATGGAGCCAGGCTTAGTGTCCTTGTAGCTTTTCAATATTCAGGAATGGCCAACTTAAAAAAAACCCAAAAAACAAAGAACACCCCATTACAGAAGTAACTGTTCTTCTAATTTGGCTGAGGAACTTTGCCATGAAAAACTGAGATCCATGTTATTTACTAACATATTTACCTTTAATTTGAAACTTTCTAAAACAATATAACTACTAATGAAAGATACTGACAAAATATGGAGTATTAACAACAATCTAGGCTCATCTGCAAGGTCTCCAACCACCTTAAAAAACAGCAAATATTATTATGGCTGTTATCAAAGTCTTAGGAATTGTCTCATTTAACTAATGAAATATTTGTTTATGGTATATAATTATAAATTTTGGGTATATGATTACACAGGTTAAAGTTTACTTTCCATTCCATTAATCATAATGGAGATTAATAATCATTTAAATCAAATTTTGTCAGCAAACAGAAATTCTCGGTCCAATTTCACCCCTATAAGGAATAAATTCAATACATAGGAAAATGCTTCATAAATAGTTTTCTTTGCTTTTTCCTCTTACCTAGCATGTGGAAGGATAAGAAGCAAAAGAATAGGTATACATGTACTTTTGGGAGCACACACTTTGTCCAGACTCCTGAGTCTACTACTCCCTGTGTACTTCATGACATCTTGGCTACTCACCAGCTCCATAGCCACCTGTCACTTAGTCTGTAGCAGGAAATAAAAGTGAATATTTAGGGTTGACAGAAGTTCTAAATTACCTCAAACATGAGCTAAATAAAAGGGCTAAAGGACTTTCTTTCTATGCCCAGGGCATTGGAATCTGGGTGCTGGGATCACAGTGCCCAATGAGGAAATGATTCCCGTACACAATGTTATTTTTTAATGTACTTACGGTAGCCACATTTTTTACAGCCTGCTCGAACACTATCCTTGTTGCAACCTAAAATACAATTGGATAACATTTTAGGAGACATATAAAGTAAAATCACAAAAATTTCATCATTTGAAAAACCTAAGAAAACCACTTGGAGAATTTATTTCTTTAAAAAAATCAATTCGATGCAGCTTAGTATCATTATCAACTCAATCATTATGGTTACTAGGAATCACTGAAAAAGCCAGTTTACTCAAATTACTTCCTTTAACAAATACTTTATGAAAATATTGTTCTCTAATTCAACAAATGCAGTATTATAGTCAAGAGCTTAAACACTCCCCTGATTCTGTAACACCAAGGAAGAAATTCCAGAGTACTTTAGCCTGACCCTCAAATGTAAAATAATTTACTAGATATACAGGAACATTCAAGTTCATGTATGCTTTTCTGCTTTCCTTTAGAGGAACTGATTTTCTCTTAAAGAAACTGATGAAATTCCAGAAAAATCCTTAACTTGCTGGGTATTGTAAAAAATATCTCAATGCAGCACTCAAATAAGCACTCATAAGAGAAAATTAGTCATATATTCATTCTGAGCAATGCTCAGACATATTTACAGTATCTCTATAATTATTATGCATGTAATATAGAAGATATAAATGATGGATGAAATAAATTAAAGCTGAATTTTACTGTGATAAATTTACCATCTTACTCATTTTTAAGTGCACAATTCAGTGGCATTAAGTACATTCATTATGTTGTACAACCATCACCACCATCTATTTCCAAACTTCTTCAGCATCCCAAACAGAAACTGTACCCATTGAACAATAACTGATGAGTCCTCCTTACCCCCAGCCCCTGGTAATCTCTATTCTATTTTGTCTGAATTTGTCCATTCTAGGTATCTCATATGTGGAATCATAGTGTTTGTTCTTCGTGTCTGGCTTATTTTACTGAACATGTTTTCAATGTTCACTCATATTATAGCACATATATAAAAAAGCCATTCCTTTTTTATGGATGAATAATATTCCATTGTGTGTGTGTGTGTGTGTGTGTGCGTGTGTATACACACACACATACACACAGTTGAAACTAACTTGAACTTCCAATAAAGATTTCTATCAATCAATCAGAGGGTCAGTACAGTATTACTCTATTTTCTTAACAAAAGCCATCTTACCTTAAACCCTTCAAATAAAGGTAGTATCTCAATGTAACAATAAAGTGCATATAGTACAAATATAAAACATTGCTTATTTTAAAAATCATTTTTCCAAACATTTTAATGTTATGAAGTCAAAATATTAGTCATTTTCCCCCAACCCCAATTTTGCTTTAAAATATACATTACTGAGTTGTTCTAGTAAAAATAGTCAGTTCTGTTATAATGCTTGTTTTAAAGATATAGATTTGTTTCAATGCAACTGATATAAGAGAGGGCAGTATGAGCGTAACATAAGTTTTGCCCATGAGAAATGCAAGTAAATGCAGAAAACTGCATCAGTTGCTCTGAGCCTTGCAGGAACACACAGCATACACAGACCAGCACAACTGAAACCACTTCTAGTGACCTCAGCTCACTGTGAGTGATGTGAGCGGTGTCCACACACATCTGGTGTGACAACTTTCCCTCTGGTTCCATACCATCACCGTCCTACTATTATTTCAGAAGAACCCACAAGCTTCAAACTTCAGGTCTTTTAAAAGGTAGAGTGCCCCATTTATTGCAGTATTTATGTATCTTTCAACCAATCAACATATGCAAAATTATACTACTATTTTCATCAGGTTCCTATTTTTTAAATTTTATTTTAATTGTTGTTCAAGTACAGTTTTCTGTCTTTTACTCCCAACCCAGCCCATCCCCCAATCCTCCCTCCCATTTCCACCCGCCCCCCCCAGTTTTTGTCCATGTGTCCTTTATACTTGTCCTGTTACTTTTTAATATATCACTGAGGAAGTTTTTGAGTGTTGTGCCTAATCTTTTTTTTCTCATAAACATTGTGGTTTTGATTGCATAGAATAGGAACATTGTATGCTGCACTGTAGCAGAATGTGGAATAAAATTGGATTAATAATACAATACGAGGCTCTTTCAATATGAAATAATTGCATGTTGGAAAAAAAGCTCAGAGAATCCAGGTCAATGTTGTCTGTTTCCATAGAAACTGCAGACGCTAAATAATATTGAATTTTAAAAAAACTGTACTAAATGCACTGTTACCACTCCTACGACAAACTAAAAATGTAATGGACAGATCCAAAATGATCTTATCTAAGCATGCATTAGAAATTAAATCATTTATGACTAAAGACACTGATAAAACTCACCATTTAAGTAACATATTTTTCAAATAAACAAAATATGAAACTTTTTCAGAGTAGGTCATCTTTAATAAAGTTATAAATTTTATAAGAAAGGGAAATATAACAAGAACTCTAAATAAAGTAACGCCATATCAGCTATTTCCTTACCAGTCTTTGGTTAAATTAGGATTTTGAGCTTCATTAGTCTATAATTTTCATGCTTCTCCCTGGAACTTTGAACCTGATGCAACTGACACAACACATCTGAGAGAAGCGACACAGTGAAACGGGGACAGCACACTCAGTCTGCTCCCAGGATCCAGTTCTGGCCACAGTGGCGGAACTGGCAGAGGCAGCCCTCACCAGGTCTGCCCTGTGCAGGATCTTGGCTATGAGTTTCCTTCGTCTCCTCTATCTTCTGAGCCGTATTTTCCAGCCTTTGCTTAGATTCTGTGAGCTCCCTGATAGCTCTCCTTTCTGCTAAAAGTAACCAGCTGCATTTTCTTGTTTAGTGTAAGAGCTCTGCCAACACAATTGCACATATTTGAAATCTATAGTCAGAATGAGTAATAAGGCTATATTGTGGGACCCTTCCTCCGATAAGAAATTAACCATTTCCTCATCCTAGGTCCCCATGGTGCTGTTTGTTCTACTCCTCTTTAAAGTTTGCTAGGGCTGTCCTGGCCTGAGTGACTCAGTTGGTCAAATCATGTCCCGTATACCAAAAGGTCGTGGGTTTGATTCCCGGTCAAGGCACATGCCTTGGTTGTGGGTTCGGTCCCCAGTTGGGGGCATATAACAGGCAACTGATTAACGTTTCTCTCTCACGTTGATGTTTCTCTCCTTCTCCCTCCTTTCTTCCCCCTCGCTCTAAAATCAATAAGCATGTTCTTGTGTGAGGATTGAAAAAAGAAAGATTTAAAGTTTGCTAGGGCTGTTTAGAGTAACAGAGCCTGCCCCCCTCAAAATCTTCCTTTACAATCATGGCCTATAATCCAAAAAAAAGGCTTTGAATAAAAACCTATAAATTTGACTACATAAAAAAAAAAGAATGACAAAGACTACCAAAAACAAACTGAAAAGATACCCGAAAACTTGGAAAAATATCTGCAACTCATAACACCAACAAAGAGCAATTACCCCTACAAATTATTAAGAAAAAGACCAACAACCAATAAAAAAATAGGCAAAGAAACTGAGCAGAAATTTCACAGAAAAAGAAACAGTTTTGAAACATAGGGAGAGATGCTAAACCCTCCCAGTCTCACAGGAGAATCTGTTGGAGAGGACCTAGAATGTATGCAAACCCACCCACCCTGGAATCAGCACCTGAAGGGCCCAATAGTTTGTGAGAAGTGGGGGAAGTGACTAAAAGTGGGGCGAGAGCCAAGCAAGTGGCAATGTTCCCTCTCTGGCCTCTCCCCCACATACACCACCATAACACAGTGAAGTTGGTTGTCCTGCCCTCATGAACACCCAAGGCTCTGCCCCTTACAACATAACAGGTACACTGAGACAAAGAAACACCACCTAAATGAAAGAACAGATCAAAACTCCAGAAAAAGAACTAGGCAACAAGGAGACTGACAACCTATCAGATGCAGAGTTCAAAACAGTGGTAATCAGGATGCTCACAAAAATTATTGTGTATGGATGTAAAATAAAGGAAGAAGTGAAGACTATACAAAGTGAAATAAAGAAAAATATACAGGGAACCAGCAGTGAAGGTAAGGAAACCAGGACTCAAATCAATGATTTGGAACAGAAGAAAGAAAGAAATATTCAACCGGAACAGAATGAAAAAACAAGAATTCAAAAAAAATGAGGAGAGGCTTAGGAACAACTCCGGGACAACTTTAAATGTTCCAACATCCAACATAGGGATGCCAGAAGAGGAAGAGCAAGACTTTGAAAACTTATTTTAAAAAATAGTGAAGGAGAACTTTCCCAATCTGATAAAGGAAATAGACACTCAAGTCCAGGAAGCTCAGAGAGTCCCAAGGAAGTTCGATCCAAGTAGGAGCGCATGAAGACATATCATAATTACATACTCAAGATAAAGATAAGGAGAGAATCTTAAAAGCAGCAAGAGAAGGGGAGATAGTTACCCATGAGTACCTATAAGACTAACAGCTGACTTCTCAAAAGAAAGCTTACAGGCGAGAAGGGGCTGGAAAGAAGTATTCCAATTCATGGAAAGGCAAGGACCTACATCCAAGATTATTCTGTCCAGGAATGCTTTCATTTGAAATGAAAGAGCAGAGAAAGTGCTTCCCAGATAAGGTCAAGTTAAAGGAGTTCATCATCACCAAGCCCTTATTATATGAAATGTTAAAGGGACTTATCTAAGGAAAAGAAGATCAAAACTATGAACCATAAAATGACAACAAACTCACAACTATCAACTGAATATAAAAAAAAAACAAAAACAAGGAAAAACTAAGCAAACAACTAGAACAGGAACAGAACCACAGAAATGGAGATCACATGGAGGGTTATCAGTTGGGAGGGGGAGGGGAGAGAGTGGGGGAAAAGGTACAAGGAATAAGAAGCTGTAGGTACAAAATAGACCAGGGTGGGTTTAGAATAGTGTAGGAAATGGAGAAGCCAAAGAACTTCTATGTACGACCCATGGATGTGAACTAAGGTGGGGGGATGCTGGGGAGAAGAAGAGTGCAGGGCAGGAGATAAAGGGAGAAAAATGAGACAACTGTAATAGCATAATCAATAAAATATACTTTAAAAAA